CTTAAAAATGTAGAGACAAGGAGTTTTGTAATACCTGAGCGAAAGGGGTCATTGCCATTTTCATTTTTTTAATAAGCTCGTAATATTTATGATAAAACATTTATAAATATTAAGTTTTGGAATCGCAACATATTATTGAAAAAAATACAATAAAGAAGCGTCAGTAAGTTATTGTTCCATGTACATTTAATTACACGCTTGTTATGTTTCCTGAAAAAATGCTTTGGTAGAAAGACATAGCTAGGGTTGAACAGACTCTGTCCTCAAATTTTATACTTGCCAAAGTATACCGAACATTTTATTGTTGAATCATGTCGTAAGTGTATTGAAATGATATAAATTGCAACAGCTACAAAGTATCCATGGAGTTATATGGGTCTTTGATGAATTATTTTGATTAATGAAAGGTGTCATACACCTACGAACTCATCTAAATAGTAAAACGTTTTGTAAATACATTTGTTCTGTCACATACTAGTTTTCTGATAAAATATGATCTTGTGACTCGTCTGAACGGAAAATTTCCATCGAAACCAAACAAGCAAATCCTTTTTCAAACAACTTCTTGTTTCCATGGGGCGATTCCTGACTAATATTTTTAAAACAGTTGAAATATACATAAAAATAACACTGATAGGTTAATAAATACAAAGTGTCTACTTAAAACAAAAATAAATTTGACATTGATTTAAGAAAATTAATAAAGCCCAAAAGTTGCAATTAACATCCCATATGTGTCCGAGTAACGTCTAAAACCTAAAATTGTCACGCCTTGGAGATTTTCTCATACCTTTGCAAAAGACAAGGAAAATGTTAATGTCTAGTACGAAACAAAAAAGTATTTAGAAAATATTGCATTTAAATACTCGTAATAAAGATAAACCCATTTGGGATCATAAACTTAAAAGTTATCAAGCCAAATCTTTTAAATAAAACTCATGATTTAAAGCAATGGCTTATTTAAAGGATTTTTTTCGTGATGTAAAAATTATAATTCACGGTCCATAAATACACTCATTTCTTGTAAAGCAAGAAGTAGTTCACAACTACAACTAATATGTACTATGTGGCAGATAATTCCATTTAATCAAATTTGCAATTATTGTAGTTTTTAAGGAAAATAACGTTCCCTCTTCATATCCGAATTCTGGGAGTTAAATTAATGGAAATGTGTAAAGTCAGCGGAAGTAATAGAAAGCCCGAACAGTGTCCTAAGAAATATTTTGAATAACTATAAATAAGTTTGCCGATAAAATAGACGTTCGCTTAGAAAATAAAATGTACAGAATATAGTTATGCGTAGTTACATTCACTAAACATAAATGTAAATAATGTAGTGAAGGAATGGAGAAGGCTCGTAACTAAACGTAATATACTTCAACGTTTGGTGATTTTAATTAAGCTAATATCGTCTATTATGAGTTCATATCTACCTAATTCTACCTACCTACCTAACGAAATGAATTTTTATACTTTGAACCAATGCCTGAAACCTTAGATTCGTTTCTTAATGAAACTAATATGAACAAATTATAAGCCGCCCACGACTTTTGTAAATCGATATATTAAGAGTATTTTGAGGCAAGTGTAGTGATTAAAAAATCGCCAAAACTCTTTTTTTGCTTTGGATGTTTGAATACACTCCATCACAAATGCTTGTAACCAAAACTTCAGTTTTGTTATTATTTCAGTCGAACGGCATTATGTTTTGCCTGTAGATATTTCACTGAAATGTTGAACAAAAATTTACATAAAAGTTTAATTTTTTGCCAAAGTATCATTATATCTATTATAACAATTAATAGGTGACAGTTTTAGATAATAATTAGTACTTTAATAATTTGAAAAAGTTGACAGAATATGACTGTTCCTTAATGAATACACAAACTATTGTCAAAAAGTATTAAGTAAAATTCACTAAGGTTTTTATATTTTTTTTAATTTGTCTACTGATTGTCAGTCGCTAGATTTAACATAAAAACGAATTTCTTTACATATAATTAATATATAACCCTGCCTTTAAGAAACAAAATTAGGTTCAAAGATGGATTTGTCTTGCACTATTTCTCTGAACTGTGACTTAGTTAAAAACCAAATAATCGATCATGTACACTAAATCTCTGGGTCTTCAGAAAACACATTAATCTAAAGAATGGAAAATGACTTTACGATGTAAATAACATAAGCATATAAAAAATAGCCTTAATGTATTCTTGAACACGAACGATATTAAAATAATATTCATTAAAATATCTTACAAAGGCTTAAACAATTAAAGTTTATTAGCACAAATAAAACACGCAACTTAAAAAATTATGTAAAAATATTTCTGATGTGATGGAATGAAATGGCTACAAGTGGGTTAAAACAGATCAAATGACAATTTTTTACTGGAAACTTTCCTGAAAAAATAACAAACTTGGTTAATGTCAGGAGACAAAGCGAAATATTAAATAGATTTAGATACTTGATGGAATACAACCAAAACACTTTCCATATTTTTGAAATTACATTCGTCATCCGTAAGACGCTGTTATAATAAATTATCAAAATTAAAATGTAACATTAGCTTTTTTATTTTGGTAGATGTTCGTGGGTTGTATAGTAAATCAGCTAAAGGGAAAATTGCTGAAATTGGTACAAAAAATATCGTTCTCTATTGATAAAAACACGGAATATGTGCTATTAAAGGATATTACCAAGATTCTTTCAGGAAAAATAGTCGATGATTTAAACATATCATTTTGTTTAATGGCACGGTTTAAAAATAGCCCAATAACTTCGACAGATGTTGAAAGAACATTTTCAATTTACAAACATATGTATTTTTTACAAACGTATGTAATTTTTTGGGTGCGAGTTTTGAAAAACATGTTGTGGTAAAAGTTTTCGTAAATACAACTGTGTGATGAAGATATTCACGTGAAACCCACCATTAAATGTAGTATTTAATAATCAATGTGCTTCATAGTAATATTATTGATACATTTTTTTTCATTTTCAATCCATATTTCCTGAAGTTTTATTTGCTGATTGTTTGAATATAATTTGGCGTAAATCTCTCGTTGCCATATATATTTTAGAGAAAACTGCATATATATGCACATATTTTTCCAATAAACTCTTGCATATAATCCGGTTTCTACTCATAACACTAGCTCTGAGCAGGTGACAGTGCCATCAGAATTGAAGTCTAGACATATATTAAAGATATTAAAAGTTCATCTCTCAGAAAAGAACATAAGTATTGATGAAATACACATTTTAAACGAAACACTTAGTAAACGTTCATGTTCGTAATAAAAGTTCCATACCCTCAAGTGATTAGATATATACTCTTTGGTTCAGATAAATCTGTGAATGCAACAAAGAAAACAAAATACTTTCGTGTGTCCGCATCAGCCATTTTGATCTTAATGTATCATGACATTATGTGTATACTTATATTAAAGTAAAATGGAAGTCAGTAAGGATATCTAAAAATAGTGTATGTCATGTAGAGACATTTTATTGGCAAGTAAGAAGGGTTGCGATACAAGACAGACTGGCCAAGTGTCGCTATCCTAGTGGCAAAATAAAATCACTTTCTTGCCTCATACAGTATCAATTATTTTTAAGCAAGTCAAAAGTTTTGTAAATTACGTTTTTCGTAGTTCGTCTAGAAGATGGTACATAATTGATTATTAGAGGTGCTACAAAATGGCACAGGTTTGTGTATTAAATTTTCGTTAAGGTTTTTCATTTTTACAACCACCTAAATAATAACAATCGAATTTTGAATTGAATAATTGAGGTTTCGAGAACGTTCATCAGAATTCTTTTAATATACTTAGTTACAAATACAATCTTGTAGTATAAAAACGTACATAATGTAGCCTAAATTTTGACTAATATAATATTCAAAAGAATCACTTTTTTTTGGAAAAAGGAAAAAATATATCAAAGTGGCGTTTGTGTGATGTTTTTCAGAGATTTATAACTGTACGTACAAAACACTTTAAGGTATAAATTTGGAACCGTTTTCGTGAAAAAGGGATGAAAACATTCCTGATTATACACAGTTTTGGACTCATTTTCATAGAAACCATTTCAGTTTAACAGAAACTTCATAAGAATCTTACAAGAAACTTCATAAGAAAAAAATTAAAGTCCTTCAAGTCATAAAGGTTAAAAAATTACATTACAAAAACGCTTTAATTTCAAATAGTAACGTGAAAGATATTTCAAAAAAACTTACTTGATCAATTTTTGATTTATCAAAAGAATCCATTAAAATCCATTATGTTATGTTAGTATATTTATCACTATACGTAAAAAGTTTTTAAATTTTTTTGACAGTATTGTTTTTAATATGTTTAATTTAACTCATATTCCACTCGAAATAACTACATATTAATATTTTGAAAATAAAGAACTACATGGCACTAATTAAAGAACTGGCTTTTAAGAAAATAATCAATTTTTAATATTTCGAAAGTTCAGAGTTAACAGTGAAAATAGGATCTATGCTATCTTTTTAAAAGTATTTCACTTATTTTTACCAAAAATTTTCCAAGAGTTTCAAGTAAAAATTTAAAAAAAAGTTTTTTCAAGCCAGTACAGATTGACCAAGGAATAATTTATCTGGACAAAGATCCTACGAATAGTGAAGAAACTATATTGTTCACAACGTGAAGACAAATAGACACACAGACGAATGGATGTTTTGAGAGAAAAAAACCGTTTCTGTATCATGGACCTCCTAGTGTATTTTAGCTGAAATTTCGAAATCGATTTTCCTCTCTATTATAACTCTCTATGTACTACGTAAATTACTCCGTATATTCTGCGTACGTACACAAAAGAGTTTTAAAAAAATAGACGATCTACTTAACAATATCTGCGTCTTAATTTGTTCATTCTTCACAGTACAATATCCTCTAATACATTCTTAACTCGACCAATCCGACTTGAGAAAATGCTGAGTGTTTTGTTTTATCAGTGTCTTCTGAGTCTTCTAGCAGAGTCGTCTGACACTGTTGCTGGGTAATCACTCACTCCAAACACCTCAGACACCATCAAGGTCCCACCACGAGCGGACGTGTTCAGGAGCCTCTCCATCCCCGGCTAAGGCCCTTGCTTTAACCTCTGTATTCATCAGCTAATCCAGTACCAACTCTCTTATCGCCATGGGTTGCTGCTGCGTTGGAACTAGTGGCCTGCCTTCCTGCGCCACATGTAGCCCGTAAGCCCTTTTTTTCTGATTTCTACACAACGAAATAACATTTTAACATAATTGAAGTATTTAAATTTAAAAAATTCAATTAAACGATACATCTGAATATATTTCGTAGTATTTGTGCACATCAGAACATATTCAGTGAAAATACACAGTGGGCATACATACGCAGTGAACGGATTTTCACATTTTATGAATTTAAATTTATTAAATTCTTAATTCATTTTGTGACTCAATGTGGAATTTAAAATTTGATTACGACTGATGTTTCCCCAAGTTTTTTCAATAAGAAGTTTCAAAGTTTTGTTACAAAATAATCACTAATTCTCATCTTATTTCTTAGGTTTTTGAAGAATTTTAGGAGAATTGGAAGAGAAAATACAACACATTTTTCTCAAAAACTAAAAATGCTAATGTTTAAATTTCGGGTTTATTATTTTTTTTTAAATGACATAAAACTAAACTGAAATCTTTTTCTAATTTCTTTGGATGTCATGGCAATATTGAAGGCCAAATTAACTTCTTAGTCTTAAGAATAAATGAATATTACTTTTAACTTATTCTAATTGAAATTAAATATTAACCTATTAGAAAAAATGAAAATAAAAATCTGTAACTTTTTTTAATTTTTGAATTATAAATGTTTTTTTAAAAAATTTAGACACGGTCAAGAGGGCTCTAATCACACCTAGTTTGCTTTTCTATCAACAATTTTAAAATAAGTGTGATAAGTACAGGAAAATGACCTAACCACTATTTTTCAATATAACTGAATGCTTATTTTTATCATTACATGGTTATGCCGATTTGGAATGACTAGTAGCGTAACAAGAATTACGTTACTTATCTTTTAAATTATTGTAATATTGCCAATCAGTGACACTTATTTACTTCCCGTAACGTTTTATTAGTCTTTAACCTACCGCTCTGATTCATGTATTAGCCTTGACACTCCAAAAATCATATTTCAATGCCATTTCAACAGTCTACAGACAACACTAAATTTTACCATGTATTTTGCGAAAGCTAGCAGTTTTTCTTGACTTTTACAAAAGTCCTTCCACATTTGGCATTGCGTGAATTATTGAAAGGTCTTCCAGTTAGTGCCATGTGCGCAGGTGCTGCAACGGCTTCTGCTATGGGTGCAGTGGGGGCTGCGGGGCCTGTGGGGCCTATTTCGCATGGCCATGGTGTTGCAGCATTTACAGCGGCTGCTGCTAAGAGCTTTGACACGAGATTGCGCTTTGTCAGCCTTTCACCAACACCCGCCCGAAAGGTAACTATCAGTTATCATTTCTTCGCTAAAGATGCTTAAAATGTAGTAAAACAGTACCCATGCTTAAAATGAAGATATATAAAATCCCATGCTTAAAATGAAGAGGCAAAAAACCGAAATCACAAAGGAGTGATATTCGTATAAAATTCTTGAAAAAAGTGAAATACGGTTGAGATAAACATGTAAATAAATTAACAATATAAAGTTGCCTGCTTCAATTACTTTTAATGTTTATTGAATTTTACCACAAAGGCCTATTATATTAACCCTGTCATACTCTTTATTTTTTTGTCGATGGTACGTAGTTCTGTTTATGACAAAACTTTACAAAATACCTATTTGATAAAACTTAAATCTATTGCAAAGTTGCACGTTGTAAATTCGCGTCTGTGATGTTTCCATTTTGTCTGTTTAATACGAAGTATTTGATAAGTTTGTCAGGGTTGACAATTTATTGACGTTTCTAGTATGATACGAAGTGTGCAGGGACTGAGCAATAGTTTTGCTTGTTTTCGAAAAACGCAACGCACTTTTTTACTTAAATGTTATGCAAGACCAAATAAAAAAAAGTTAATTAATAAGTGTGATTTATTTAATTTTTAAAGGATCTTCAGGGCAGCAAAAACCAGAATATTTTCAGCAAATATACAAGTGAGAATATTTGTTGATATTCAGGATTTTAAAGTATTCCAAAATTTAGTTTCAATCACATAAAATACAACTCAAATTATAGTGCTTAAAAATGTGAAATATTAATCTGGGTAGCGCTTCTTGTTGGTGATGAAATTCGTAAGTGATAATTAAAATAATAAAAATACCTGATTTTTGGGAACAACAAATTTTAATTTTGCAAAATATTGTTTTATTTAGCAAAAAGCTAACTGCAGATGTCACTCGTTTTGACTATAACATACGACCAATTGCCGGCAACGTGAAAATTAAAAAATATATAAAGTCACGAGAAAATTTCTTCGTTCGGAATGAGGAATCCTAAAATTTTCTCTATATTTTCTTACGCAAATAAAATTGGTTCTTAACTTCATTGTGAAGTAAAATATCGGAGGCCTTTTAACTTCGGATAAGAGCGCTGGTTAGCTACGTTAGTCTTGAATAGCGACGGTTAATTGTTAAATTTACGTTAATAGACAATGTTTTAGTTTTAAACACTTTAAAAAGTTAATTAATTTGATCTTTAAGTTTTTTTTTCGTGCAATGTTAAATTTTTCATTTGCGTAAACATTGTTTTTATCACTTCAATTTCAGGTAGAGAAAGTCTGAGAATGTAATGAGAGGAACCTAACAAAAATGTTTGTAATTTAGGAGAGCGTACGCTTCCGCGGCCGGAGTCAGTATTTACTAGGCTGTCCGGGTGACGCCGCGTCCATGGTGAAGGTGCCGACGTGCGTGGCATTACGCCCTGAGGAAGGTCGCGGAATGGCGACCGAAACGTCGGCACCTTCGCCATGGACGCGGCGTCACCCGGACAGCCTAGTAAATATAAACGTTTGTAATTTACCTTATTCAATAGAAACAAAACAATATATTTACCAAGAAGAAAAATATATTTACATTTTCTTTTGTTGTAAACTACATTGAAAAATTTCGATGAGTTTATAAAATACCTTTTGGATAATAAATTTTATTTGTATTAAAACTTATGACTAATGTAATCACATATCATGAATGATGTACTTATAACATTATCCGGACTTACGGGAAGAACGTTTTTGTCAATATCGATAGTAGTATTTGTTCTTAACATCAGCAGCATATTCCATCGATCTGATCGATTTCACTGATCGTATGTTTTGACACGAACAGTGCCATTACTTTTTTCTAAGGCGCGCAAAAAATTGTCTAAGTCTTCAAAAGTTTTGTTCGAACGAATTTAGCTAGTCTTCACACTATATGCTCAATGACAATTTCAGTTCTCACAGCCTTGACTTATCAATTGAAGAACCACCATTCCGGTAATTGTTTCAGTTAACTAGCGAAAAACGGGCTAACCCTAGCATATGCAATGGATAAAGTCCCTGGACATTTTGTAGGTCAACCTTAACCGGGTGTCGTTTAAAGAATTTCGGCGGTTAAATACCAATTAACTTAACAGCAACTTTATCCCAGTGGTTAAAAAGGCCCTTAGAAACTAGTTAATTTATTACCAGATAACTTCTGCTAATAACTTATTCAATTACACCCACATTTTTTTAATACACGCTGCAACATTTTTCTAACCACTACACATGTATTTTTTGTTTCAGGCTAGCGTGCATTTGTTGTTTACATGGAGAAATTTCTGTTAATACGCCAATGGTAGCAACAATCTGCTTTTAACGCGCATGTGGTATCTTCAACCTAGAACCAAAACGTGAAAGTCTTTAAGTATGCTTATTGTACATAAAATATGAAAAATGTAAAAAAAATCTGCAAAATAAAGAAAGGCGCGTCCGCTCAAATTGTTTTTGCATTAATAAGATTTAGAAGTATATTTTAGAAGTATATTTTATTAAGAATTAACCCTTCCTTTCCTAAGATTTTTTTCAAGCATTACTGACAGGGTGCTACTTTTTGTACCTATTTTTTAATATTTTATTAATATAAGATTACGAGAATTAGATATTTTAGAATTAGAAATATTGATATTTCTACAGATTTGTACTTGCATTTAATGTATTAGTCGCTTCATCGCCTTTGCAGTTTTCGCGAATTGAAATTAAATTGAAAAAAGATGAGAATATGAATTGAGGATTGTTTTTCCTAGAAAACATAATTCCAAAAGAAAAATTCGGATTTCGCTAAAGCCTGTTTTACACGATCATTTTTTCATCATTTTTCGCCGGTTCAGAAAAGATAAAGGCCGGACTGGATGTAATTTGTACGAAAAAATTACGCATGCTTAATTTTTCGGTACAGATTTCATCCAGTTTGACTACCGCGCTCCTGGCGGCACTTTACGGAAGTGTCTCTAGTTTGTGATGCGTGTGGAGCGATATGATTTTGTAGTTGCCTGAGAGCGTTCTGATGTTTAATTGTAATGTGAAGTGGTTGCGTAAAGAGAAATAAATTATGCACTGTTCTTTAATATTGTCGCATCCGAGCTCAGTCCTGACCTAACCTTATTTAATTTGTTACCACAGATGCGATGTTCAAATGTTTGAACTTCAGCGCTGTATGCGGCGTCCGGAGAAAGTATTTTCTTAAAGATTACGTACAAAGACAAATGACCGTGTAAAACACTCATCCAGTTTCGGCACCGAAACATACTGCGTAGAAACAAACGTCATTTTTTCATCCATTTACGGTACAAAAAAATGATGCAAAAATGACCGTGTAAAACAGGCTTTACATTTGACTCAGCAGCTTATAAGACTAACTGAAAATATGCAAACTCATAACACCAGCATAAACACAAGTTAGCTATTTTCCTTGAAGAAAATTCCTTCGATTAAATTCGCCGTGCATGGCTATCTTTCTAATTTTTTTTAGAATACATACCTTTTGCAGCTCACACGCAACTGGTCTTTATAAATGAGGTGTATCCGTAAATAATTAAATTTTCGGAGACCTGACAAATATCACTTTGACTTTAAAATATGAAACATTTGTTTTAAAAAAAGTGAATCTAAATATTCATGTCATATGCAACCCGCAACACACAATCAGCTATATCGTTAAATAACTTCTAAACAACGCGTTTTAGTGCTTTTAGACTAAACATTTGAGGCCAAAGACTTCAAAGAAAAGTTCCTCACATTGTAATATACAGGATGAGAAATTCTTGGACATTCTGTTAAATTTTTGCTGGTTCAGTGTTATCGATATTACCAATTTCAACTATATATGGAGGAATACAGAATACATTCCTCTACGAAATATATTTCAGCCCTTGGTGCTAGTGGACATCTTTAGACGTCACGATTGGTTTGCTTAGATTCCGCCATCTTATACTATTTACGCTTTCTGAGTACACCGTGGATTGCGCGGCCGCACGAGTTTTATTTGCATAATTATCCAAGATTTGCTCTAGCAGAAACAATTATGTACAATTAATAGTTGCTTGATGCCGATGAATGTTTCTTATGCGTGTAGTGCAACCATTTATTTAACTTTTTGCCCTGGTCTAAAAAGCTGTGAACCTAATTGTGGAGAGAACTACGATAGAAACGGACCACATGTTCCCATGTTTGTTTCACAGTAACATGAGGAAATATTAGGGTGGGGTTTAACACGCGAGAGTTCTCGCACGGATACGCTAGTTGTATAAAATAAGAAATTTGAATAATACCTTATCAGATAAAGAAATCACGCAAGCAGGGTTACTGCAAGGGTGACTGCACTCACCAACCCTCTTTAATATTTACGTTGCTGACTACCCTCAGATGGAAATAACGGAAATGTTTCAGAGCTGTTCACAACAAAGATGTGGATCCAAGAAGAGAAATTTACAAAATTCATTAATTACATTTGGTGAATTAGGTACCTTCTAATAATTAAATACGGTAAATAAAAGATGTTGTCTGGTATAAAAAATTATATTATGCCAAAAATCTTTTCGATCGCGTAGCGATTATCCCCGGAGCTAAAAATAGTTACATATTTTATATTTATACTTCATGACTCTAGTATTAATGTAATTTTATTTATGTAATTTTGTTTTTAGCTCTGAAGATCGCTAAACGATTGAAAAGATCTTTAGCATAATATATTTTGATACCAGACAATATTTTGTATTTACCGTATTTAATTTACAAAAATCATTTTATTCATTTATAAGTTTGTGCTGAAAATAGAAAATAAAAATAAACCCTACTAAATTACAACCTAAGATATTTACGCTACAAAGATCTAGAATGCCATACTCTCTAATAAATTAAAATTTAAATTGAAAATGGATCAAAAACGATCAACCAGTGATATATTTAGAAGTGCTTCTACATCAAACACGCAAATATCACATTAAATAAATAGCCAAGTAAAACATACGTGAAAATAGAAAAACTATATCCACTCACAAATAACCACTCCAGGCTAAGCATAGAATGGGGGATAACATTATTTAAATCCATTATTAAACCATCACTTACTTACACTTGTCCTATCTAGGGCGGAGTAACATGGAGAAAATCAAAGTAGTTCAAAATAAATTTTCAAGACGCATAATCAAAGCGGTACATAACCGTGGTATATGACTATGGTACGTGACCAACAGACAAATTAGAGACGAATTGAAAATAGAGAACTTATATACTTACATCAGAAGACTATCAGTAAAATATTTTGAGGAAATACCGAAAGCAGAATGTGTTATTTTACGGAAAACTTTAATTTAGGACATTCAGCAGAAGCCATTATTTCAAGATATTAGACAAAATTATTTGAAGGTTTCCCAAGAATAAATTACGTCTGCTACAAACGCTTCATTAAGAATGCCATTTGAATATAAAAAATATTAAACATTCAAGCACATTAGAGAATTGAATGTCACAAAATCAAATTTGTTTTTAATCCAAACACTAAATTAAGGGAAACGTAACAACGTGAGAGTGAACTCCACGCTTGCCTACGCCCTCACTTAGTTCTAGTATTAAGTCTTGCTAATCTCTGTAAAATCAATGGATTGAACAGATATAAAATAAAGCTTCTTACTCAACCACATTTCGCGATTTATTTTCTTGAAATTAGAATGCTCAAGATGTGTTATCATTTGCTCTCACCGGATTTTATAACAAAATTTTATTCACTACTAGTGAGAACTTCTCAAAAAGGAACAGTTCCTTGAACAGTTCAAAAAGGAACACATCTTGAAATATATACTCTCCCTTCCATTATATTAATACATTTCATTATATTTATTTTATAGAAGTTGCAGATCTACATCATTCTTAATCATTCAAAATACTTGCATTAACTTCACTTCCTCTTTGAAATAAACTTTTTTACTTCGACAATTTTCTTATAATGAATAGTGAATAATAGGTTGGGTGAACTAAATGCGCAGTGTGCACATGCTAAATGCAGAGTGTGCACCGCATCATTATGATGTTTATTAATACTAAAGGTGACCAACTTTATGTTAAGTAATATTCAATTTTTTCTTGAGGTATTATTCGATAACCGAACTAATAACATTCATGATTTGATGGCTTTTATACCTGAGAACTAGGAAAAAAGAAGTTATAAACGAAGAATAACGATTACGATTAACATACTTGTACATAGTGTAGAGCGTATAATTATTTCATGTTTAATAGATAATTAACCTATTTGTTTTGTTACATCTCATTTCTTTTTTGTGTTAATGTGAACAAACGCAAGAAAGGTCTCTGCCCTTAATTCTTTCCTCTATCCAAATGAAAAAATAAATTAGTTTCTTTGGGAACTGACCGAGTAGTGCTTGGAGTAACATTCATGTGCCTCTGCCGCCTATCCAGCAGCGTAGGAAGGTATCCATGTAGACCGCCACAATATATTAGAAGTAAAAAGAATATTATTTCAAAATTTATCCTGTTTTGAGCCCAAGTAAATTGTTTCTGCCTTTTGACTATAGGTCTTCATTCATTATTGACATATTTGGGTAACTCCAACATTAAGTCTGTGTTCAGTGTCTGTGTTAAACTATGCTCTTTTATCTGGGACGTAACGTTTGTACACTTTAAGGAGGTGAGACATACTGTTATAAAATTAATTATCGGGACCAAAGTTGTGACCTAAACTTGAGCCTTATCAGAACAAAAACAAAGAGCATTGTAAAAGCGAATTTAGGAACATAATATTGTGACAATTAATGTAAAAACAAGTTAAGAAACATAATATTGTGACCACCCGTTTTCCCAAAGATCAGAAGAACGAGTCGTATTTCTCATCAGTGACAAGGGAGAGAATCGGAAAAGTTTGAAACGCGCGCTTCATAACAGAAGAAGTGCCAGAACTTATCAAAAGAGTTCGCTAGTGTAGAATCCAATAACACGAATCCCCAGTCGTCCGGCAACTCTCCATCAAAATTTGAGACAAAGCTAAAGGTTGCTACTATAGGCTGCGCTAGTGTTGCCAGATATAGCTGCTGGTAAGGCTCGCCAACTTTCGCACATAAAAATTGGTCAAGAAATACGAATACCCTTCGATTATGAGCGATTTCTAAAATAAATTACAAACGAAGTTAAATACTATGTGTTTAACTTCTAAAATTCATTTATTCATAATAATACACGCATGAAAGAAAAGGTAGCGCGATCTTTTGTATCAAGCGCGTGTGTTTGCGTCCCGAGAACCCACGCACGTTTTAAATACCTTTGGTAGCAGTTCGTATTTTAGTACGTGTATGAAGGTGATGCTCTAGAGCGCGTCACTGTAATGGTTTCCACCACGTTATATGGGAGTTATAGGGACCTGCAGTAGCCAATCAGAGATCAGGACAACGCCATATACATCTGTACACTAACTCGCTGTAGCGGTGAATCGGTGAACTACGCGTTTTGAAATTTCTCTGTGTTCGAACCGGATGATTACCGTTGGATTTCTTCCTCGACAACGAACGGCGTTGCTTTTATGTGCTCTTTGTGGAGCCTTTAACCAGATTTAGCGGCCAGTGAATTCGAGAAATTTTGTGATTTACTGCTACGTTTGAAGTCTGAAGCGTGCATTATGGCTTCGAGATGGAGCTGGGTACCTTATTGCAAAAATGCGAACGCGAAATTAGCCATTAAAACTTCTATTTGGGTTCCCAATATACGTAAACAGTGAGTAAAGTATATTTATCTTTCATTTTTATACAAGTAGTATATCGCTGAACACTGCTTCTTTATTATACTTTTGTTGAACGGTGCCTGTAAAATTAATATATTTGTTTTTTATGTAGAGAATGGCTTATAGCTAATTGAAATCACTCTCTCTAATTGCACATGGAAGCATCTCACAAGCCGTAAGTATGCATGGAACATTTTCTGGAACAGCATTACATCTGCCACTCGAAGGAGTTGTGATCCAGTTAAATTTCGAAATCACGAAATCCCCTTTGCGAAGAAGCATTGCAGGATTTCAATGCAAGCGATCCAGTGAAAGGAAGCAAAGGAATAATTTTCTTCGATGTGCATTCACGCATTTCAATAGTGCGTCATAAAGTGATTCTCTAATGTTCACTTTATATTTCAGATGTTCAGATTCAAAATTCACCACAAATGTCAGTGGCTGTTACTCCTGGTAAGACTTCTTTTCAATAGAAATAAGTATAATTTATTTGTTCAGGGAACAGTTTGTGACAGTATGCATTGCCATAAAATAATTTGAATGAAGTGTTTCTCATCAGATTAGCCTAGGTAATCATCATTTGTGGTTACAAAAACTAATGTCAGTACATTTGCTGGCAGTATTCATGGTGTTTGCCTTGAAAATGCATTCAAATAATTAAATTGTAAATTTTTTTAATGTTCACTTACATTTGCAGCCCCTTGTTTGAACTAAGGTGACACCCACAATAGTAATGGGTGTAACTTGCAAGACTTATAACTTGTTTTTTAGTACATTTTTTTCTTATATTTATAGTCTATCTGTCCCTATTGACAACAGAACTTTTAACAGGACAATTTGTTTCAGATTATATATGTGCATACAATTTTGTTTTTGTAGAATTAATTTTAACTACCAAATAGTTTAGAGGGAGACTTCCTTACCAGCATTTTTTAATTTTCAGATCTTTGTGCACAGGCAACAATTCAAACTGAAATAGGTAAGTTTCTTCCATGTGTGAAATGCAAATAGAAGCATGATTTTGGAATCATAATGCATTGGTAATAATTTGTTGATTATTACAGGTTCTTGAGCCATTTAGTTTGCAGCTACATCATGTGTGGCAGATGCATATGCTAGCCTTGTAAATGGTAAGTATTCGCTATTATCTTTAAGAAACAAAATTATCACTGTGTTGCATATTTTGAAGGTGAGGAAAACTTTATATTTGTCTCCATTTTCAGGACTTTTAATCCTATTTGAGGTGTCACTTCAAGTTCTTATGGATGTTTCTCATGGTAAGTTTTTCCTTTGAATATACAGTTATTGGTATCAATTATGTGTAAATTATAGAAAATAAAAAACAAATGTTTTGTGGTTGGTGATTACAGATCCTTGTACCATTGGTGATCTAAGTCATTCTGGAAGATAAATCTGTGGGTTCAGTGTATGGTAAGTGCAATATATTCCTGTTCTATCAAATTCTTTAATTCTAGATGATAGATTAGAAGAAACATTTTATTTTTGATGTAGATTAGTTATTGGAATATTCATTCGACAATGAAGTATTTTTAAGAGCATTTTTTTGCTTTCCAGATCCTCTTCCAAAGAGGTCTTCTGAAGAATTCACAATAATTGTGAATTGACCCCAAATGACAGTAAGTGTTCGGTTCCTGGTGCAATCAAATATATGAACTTAGACAATCCAATTTCAAAATTAAATTGTGGTGCTTAGGAATTGTTGGACCTGTTACATTTCTCTCTTAGTAAATTATTGTTTTAAAAATGAATGTTGTTTCACAGTGGATCTCATCTTTGAACAGCCTAAACTGTGCATGTGTAAGTTAGGCATAGGTAAATAAACTAATTTTGTCAAATATTTATTGACTAACAAAAACATTCTTAGGCTGCAACTAGTAAAAGATGATTTTCAGGGCATGCATAGCATTCTCAAAGTTGAAGTTTTTGCACTAGTGCTTAAAGTGGGACAATGCTCAAATGTTCAGATAAAACTTCGAAAGCAACAAAAAAATACTTTCGTGTGACCTAATCAGGTACTACTGACATTAATGTAACATAGTTCATAATAACACATTCAGGTCCGAACGGCTTTATTATAATTTTATTGTTATTTTCTGAAAAATTGTAATATTTTTCTACACGTCCGGGTGTATTTGAAAATTCTATGATCGTCCTAACAAGTCTAATTAATAATCTGTTTAGCTATGGCAAGTTCCATGAAAATATTTGCCTTAGAAGTTTGTTTGTTACTCACATGTAGTTCAGACATTAAAAACCAATAGGTGTTTTTTTTAACCATGTACGACTCGTAGGGCAGTGAGGGGGGTTAGGTGATTTGTATTCTTGGATTAAATAAAAGTCAGTAATACGGTTTAAAAACACGCGCTGAATGTGATTTCATTTTGCACGTATGATTCGGGCACCTAATATACTGGCCTTGTAATGCTACCTTTCCAACTCGCTGTATCAAAACTGTTTTACCCGGGTGAATGTGCGGTAATGTTTTTATTAGTTTCTTTTCAACTCTATTGGAATTGTTCATGTATAATGCTTTCTAACAATGTAATGTTCCATAGTATTCACATTATTTTGTCATATCTACAAGCCAGTAAAGTTGCATTTGGCTGGTGTACTGTTTTTATTGCCTTGTGTACAAAATTGTTAATTCTATTGAAGTTGTATAATATCAATATGCTCAATAAATATCAGATTTTATTGCCCTAATTTGACATTTTTTCTTCCATAAAATCTATATAATTATTGTAAATTTGTTAATAAATTAAGGCGTGGCAATTATGGGAGTGAAATTTTGAAGTTCCCGCGTTGCTGGTTTATTTCAAATTTACCGGTTGCTTCTTCGCTATTGGCTGTCCTTTTAGCCAATAGAAATTATACAGAACAATGTGGCGGCATCGGAAGTTGGGAAAATAAGGCTTTCCATTTAAACATTGAGTGCCGTCTCTGATATTCTTTGCTAATCCCCTACATTCGCGAAATCCCTTCCTTTGGAAAGTAGCAAACGACCTTTGAAGTCGTGCTTTGGCGTGGCGAGATGTTAATGGACAGCTTGATCTGAGGTTCTGGGTAATGGTAATCTGAGCTTACTTCTACTGGAAGCAATAAAAAACTTAGCAGAAACACAAGGAAGAGGTAACTAGATATATTCATAATAAATTGGAATTAATTTTGAAACATTTACTTAAGAAAACTAGTATAGCGTGAAACATATGTGAGATAGGTCTAAGGTAGAAGCACGTGCGAGTTATGTAGAATTAAAACGAATACTTTTGATGTCCTTTTCTTTCAGTTATTTTCTCTCTTTGTCTTATTCAATGGGTTGAATAGTCGAAGGTACCATGCAAGCACATGCGGAGCAGTGAATTACCTGGCTGCATATTTCCACAAACGTGAACTCAGACAACCGAGGTGAAGGCGAGCGGTCGCATGGAGGGCGGCGTCCTTCGTTGCGGCTCGAATACATCGGACTTCGCCTCTTGCTGTGATTTTTTTACTCAAGTAAGAACGTTTCATTGAGTATTTTCTTTTATTTAAACTCTACCTAGAATTTGTAACGTAGTCAAAGGTCTAGCAAGGCTTGCTATTAATTAAAGTTTTGAACTTTGATCATTATATTGATCAATTGAAAGTTGTCGTAAACTAATGCGGTTGACTCACGAATGTGTGACTGTAATTCGAAGTGGAATAGAAAGCAAAATACAGGTTTTCAATGAGAACTAGGTGCGTAAAATACTAATTTTTTAAGCATTAAAGACCTGAATCACATTAATGAGAGGAATCGTATTAAGAAAGTCACCACCATAATTTTGTTTCTTTCTGTCAATGTTAAAACTTTAAAGATTATCTCTATCTTAAAGGTTCTTAAAATTTACAAAGAACTTGAATGTCTTCTAATTGAACAAATGTTTACAAAGAGTTGCAATCTTCCTGTATGTTGTCTGTCTAAGATTGAAGTTTACTTATTTTATGTCGGTTAGATAAGGATTTTTTCAGGGAAGATTTTGTCTTGTATATTCTTTTTGTAAAACAAGTGACGAGAATTGGAGATTATAAAATATTTGATTAGGAAGGGGTTTAATTTGAATGACACTTGTAATTCGAGAGTTAAAATAACCAACGTGCCTGAGCCCCACAAAATTTGTGTATGGTAAACTTTGTTTGAAAACCACAGAAGTTAAGTGTATAGTGGATCTAACCTACCGCCCCAACAGCTTGTGACAATATAATATTATGTTATAGCAGAGTAAGTAGAGCGTTAAGCTAAACGTACATTGATTGTCACAAAGAATGCGGCACCCAGAACAAGGCAAATGGCGATCACTGTTGTGAGGTAGAGGATACACAAAATGATTATATTTTCATATTTGTAGAATCAATATTTATTGGGGTTCACGGTCACAAAATTCATACATATTAGTATAACATCGGGCCTTCATGATGATGAATATACATGTCCAGATGCAACAAAATATAGTTTCACAGGTCTGAAATGGGGTTCTGAAGTAATATATTCTATGAACATGCCAGTAGTATATAGCACTCGAGCGCTCATATCTAGCAGATTAGTCGGTAGGGATCTAGTCCTAATATCCACTCCATAGCAACCTAAGCATCTCGGTTGGGGGCGAAATCTGGTGATGCTTTTGACCATCACAGTATCCATAGTTGCCAAGATGCTCTTGAGGAGGTGGCTGTGTGAGGCCGAATCTCATAAATATCTATCTTTTGAAACCATATTGTAAGAACAGCGTGTGCAACTGTAACTAAAGTAACAAAATAAAGGTATGAAGAGAATAACATGACGTAAACAAAAAGTCTAGCCAATAATTAATATAAATGCGTAATTTCTTTTATCTCTGTTTCCTTAGAAACGTCCTCTCTTCATTGACATTTCAATATGCAGGAAATCGTTGCCCCTCAACGGTTCATTCCAGCTTTCGATTGCGTAATTTCAATAGCATCATTGGAAAATGATGGGGTGCGGGGCAGATCTTACCCAAACATTACGGTAAACACAGCAATGCCTGTTTAGAAAGAGGCAATAGAACAAAATTCTAGTAATTTTAACGCACTTTCATGGAATAAATTGTTTTTATAAGGGATAACTCATTAATGGAGAATGAAGATTGTTCTTTCAAAAAAGTGTTTATTTTTACACGGTATAAGCATTGGGCTGACTTAACACAATATTTTCTTGAACTATTCCAACACTAGTTAATTACAAAAGTTGTCACAATAACTATTCCTTCTTAAAAAATATCCACTTCATAGAATTCACTATCATATTTTGCTAGCGCGTTTTTAACGACAATCTGTACCAAAAGAACGAAGTTAATGAAAATCATACAATTTCATTACGTTACATAAACATATTACTTTCCACAAAGTATTACACTAGTTACTGCTTTGATAAAATTGTTTTTGACAAAATAAATAAAATGTGTTCTAGGTTCTAGTAGACATGGTACAACCTCATGACACTCCCTGCGTGCGGAATCGCGGGCTGGGGGACTGAAATGAGCATCCACAGCGCAGTTCCATTTCCTAGAAACCTCGCACCTCTCGAGATTTAAAGTAAGTACAAAACGAGTCGGAGAATTTCAGTGGAACCGTTCTTTGATGAATGTAGTATGTTCATGCCTAGAAATGACTGAATAGCTTCAGATTTTTAGTACCGATGTCCAACACTCGCGAAAGGCGGCCGTGCTTCCTTAAACCTTCACTGGTAGCGTGGATTGCTATTGTAATCCACTACTATTAATTCGCCGTTTACCGAACAGGCGTCTCTCTGTCCGTCCGTCTTCAATTTGGTGCATGCAGTTCCTATTCACTTCTCAAAAATGGCTCAAAATGTTTCTTTACATTCTTTATAAAAAGTGCATATAATACGATATTTTTATACAGTACTGTATTTGGAAGCACAAGTCCTTAAACTGATTTCCAATTTGTCGAAATATGAAAAGCTTTTTGTGAAAATGAATTAAAAATCTCGCATTTTCAGAAAACCCAACGACACACTTCAAAATCGGCTCCAACTTTTCAATGAAAATTGTGTGTATGTAGGACCATGTTTTATCCTTGTATTATATTCATAAAGTCTATTTATTTATGTTTTATTGATTTATTTCAAAAACAGTCATGTATTAAATTCTGTTAAAAGATAAAAAAAATGAGATACGCGAAACAAGGTCTTTTAGGCGCCAGTAGTTGACAGCTCTGAAGTGGGTGGGGTAAAACCGAAAGAGATAACGTAGACTAGTGACAAGAACTCACTATAACGAGAAAATGTCATTTTGTAGCACTAATTTTAAATGTACGTACTACTGTTATAATCCATACGACCACTTGTGCTACGATTTGAAGCGTAACGAACGTTGGAGGGTTAATCACCTTAAGTTGCAATATTTGGTAAGAGGTTACTGAAGTGCACTTTAGTCTGAGTATCTTTTCATTGTAACTAACACAATTTCTTTTTGCTTACAAAGGACCATTTAATCACACGAAGTATATGATTAATAATCCCAAAACCGATTAAATAATACTACACTTTGTTCATGTAATCCTGGAAATGTATCGTTGATCGCTAATCAGGTCAAGTTTTGTGCCATGAATGTTTTTACCTGTTCAGTCATCGGATATGTCGTACTTGCCACTTTACTTCACGCCGCCTTGAAACACTAAGTAAGAATTTTAGGAATCGTCCATATTTCAAACATTTTTGTCGATATCCAATTCTGGTCGATAATGATGACCGGGAGAGACGGCTCAGGGCATCAACTGATATCATTGCAGTTCCTCTAATCGGGAGCCCTAGGCGCGAGTCCCGGCGGTGGCAGGATTTCGAGAGCTTGTTAGCCGAGTCAACTTGAGATGCTGTCTGGAGGAGAATTCGAGTGGCCGGCTGCTCTGATCGGTAGTTTTCCGCGGTTTCTTTAACCAACTCCAGGCGAATGCCAGAGCAGTACCCTAACAAACGGGCCACGGACCGCGCGCGCGATTTCACCTTCCTCTTCCTTGTCATATCCTCACCCCTTACACATACTTCCATTAACATGTACTACACTACCACACATGCCGGGAGCTTAGAGCTTCTCCTGGATGGGGCGGTGCCCCAATGGGGGAGATACCTGGTTGGGGAAAATCCCGCTAGCCGACAGTAGGTCGGCGCCGGATCTCGGCATGCGGCAGGGGAAAGGTCACCGCCACCTCTCAAGTAAAAAAAACAACATGCATTACACGAACGAGAATAATGACCCTGGTAGTTGACGTGCCCGGAATCGGTAAACAATCGATCGATCGATAACAATGAATCGTAGCCTGGTGTTGTGACGGGGGGGGGGCGTCCGTCCTTTCAGTTGGCCAGTGCAGAGCGCGCGTCGCAATGATCGTGGAGATTCTGCTGGTGGGCGTGTCGGCGCTGATGCTGCTGCTGTCGCTGATCGTGATGGGGCTGGTGTCGATGACGCTGGGCATGGGCCCGCCGCTGGTGCTGCAGCGCTTCCCGGCCGCGCCGGTCACCCCGCCGCCGCCGCCCGCGGCGCTCTCCGCCGCCAGGGCGCGCTCGCCCTACACGCACCGCGCCGTCATGCGGGCGCGCAAGCACCCGTGGCGGGTGAATCTGAAGCGGCTGGAGCGCTGGCGCCCGCCGCTGCCGCCCGACGACGACGGGCGCTCCGACAGCGAGGTGGCCGCGCGCAGGGACGCGGCCAAGCTGGCCGTGTGAAAGGACGCGTTGGCTGCCGCAACGAAGCAATGCCTAGCTGGTGGACGGACGGGATACTATCCGAAACTATCATGTCCTTATCCGAAACAGCGCAGAAACCTCATAAATTATAAGATACACAACATGAAAGAAATGCTATAGGATTTAACCATAACACAAAACTGCCTTCAATATTAGACTTTACCCACACATCTCGAACTTGGAAATTATGAAATGAAATAAATGATATTGAATGTAATATTGTTTATTATTTCGTAAATACATTATCTATTTCTTGAAGAATTAGATGCAATAAGACTACATTTCTGCGTGTTAATTAAATATAGGTATGCGGTTTTAAAATTATTTTTGTGCAATGTAAAGCATCGAAGATAAGTTGATGCGTTGTTTGTAATAAAACGCAGAATCATTGTTGTTACGTTACAAGTCAAAAACGCTTAATCGTTCAAACGTTCCACCGTCTAAGAGGCACAATTTTTGCTGTATAGAAAATCATTATATTTTACAGCTAGTGCTGGCAACATAACTGAAGGTTCTGTGGTTGTTGTCCTTCAGTCCATTTGACTCTCCTTCCGTCAGTCGCTACTTTGCAGTTCGCTAACTTGTAAATGACTTCGACGCTTCTTTTGTGATGTCCTCGTCCGATGAAAATAGAGTTCGCCAAGAGAAATAATTGAAATTAGGAAGTGCAGCGCTACTGTACACTTCTGTAAAAAAATATTTTTATAAACATTACAATAAATTTTCTTTTTGTGTGATAAGTATTATGTTTATTTGAAAACAGAGCTTTGAATGTTAGACGCCTACTGGCACAAGAGGTTCCTGCTCGTGAACGGTAAAGTGGCGAGCTGTGATCGAAAACGTTCCGTGGTTTACGTTTTATCAATTTATTTTCTTATATAATTTCGCGGTTGTGAACCATGGGAAGCCATAATGTCTTAACGGGAGCCATGTACAAACATAAACACTTCACGAAGAGACGTGGCTGAACAGCTGCCGCGGCGGAATTTCATACGATGTTCACTTGTTTAGCGAACTGTCATTTTTGCCCATTCTGAGGCGGATTCCTCTGTATGCGAGGGTGTGACCGCGCCTTTGCAGTCAAAGTCCACAGCACCAACGCGCCAGCTCTGGGAAGAGTCGGGCGTCTCTAGGAACGTTGAGGCTTCGGCCTCGCGCAAACGGCCGAAAATTAAAATTAAGCAAAACGACTGCGATTGCTGTATCGAAATCGCCGCCCATGACCCTCCATCTATGAGCAAAGACCAGAGTCACTCCTCACGTGACCACAGGAACCTTCAGGCACAGAATATATATTATACAGTAGCGCAGCTCCCTGGTAAATGACCTATACTACGATGATGTGTTGGTCAGCGACTCTTAGTGATCCACGCGGCGACATAGGAACGCAGCCTTACCATTATAGCATCGTTCTGCTGAATCTGACCAAAAAGTGAAAATAACGATAGGCATACATTTCAATTTACTCATGCATATAAATAAAACAAACATGTAGATGTTTTGAAAAAAAATTAAGGAATAATTTAAATCTAATGAATGTTGTATATTGAAAGAGAATATTGAAATCATGAACTATTTCTTCACTTTTTATAAAAATATCTAGAAATGTCAAAAGTAAGTTTAAAATTAGTTTTATTTGATTTGCATGCTAATGAACTACCCTCAAAATCCTAAAAATATAAAACCAAGAGGTTGAGAAATAACACGAATATTTTTGCTCACTTTGTTCTTAAGTAATTAAGTAAATATGGTGTTAATGATAGTTCCTTCTTAGAAGAACGTTGATTATGAGCTGCTGCGTTGAGGCGGTCAGTCACACCGTCGGTCAATTTTATTGCTCCAGCATCTTGCGGTCCTAACAGACAGTCAGGCATACGCTGTTGCTGTTCGATCTTAAATTGTTACCAATCGGTGTGCCGTTTTTGCGTCTTAAGTGTATGTCTGCTATCGCTGTGAAGTGGACGGAGGAGAGATCTCAATTTATAGTTAATGTGTTAGGGTAATGCACTTTTTGACATAGCAAGATGTCTAAAAAATATGGATTGACGTTCGTACTGAAATAGATAGGTGCAGTGATATCGCAGATTCAGCTTACGGCCGCAAGAGCATGGGATGCGGGAGCTCCAGGCCGCGTGTTTGGCATTAAAATCGCTAGCCACGAGTGTGGGGGTAGTGTTTCCCTGAACTTGTTTTGCAATATCTGCAGCTAGTACGACACGTCTCCGCGGTGCGGTCAGGGCGAGCGTAGAGACAAATAAGACGCAACAGCTCGCGTTCCGTCTGAACAACAGCAGTGGCCTCGGCGTGCTGCACCTGCAGAAGACCTGAAACATTATGAATTATGAATGCGTTGAATTAATATTGCAGTACCGCCGCCTCTGGTGGCTTATGTCAAATTAGCTGATTGTGCAGCTCTGTCGTTTCAGCAGCAGATATTACCTGGAATGTTAAAAGAATCATGCGGGTTAAGTCGTGTCTTTCGCAACATCACCGAACTGATGTGACGAATGTGAAAACTGAAGTTCTGGCTGCTTCGTGCGCCGCTGATGCCGTTACAGTTCCAAAATATAACGGTGCCGCTATTCCTGTAAAAAAAAGAATTAGAGATTTAAGGCGCGCTGGAGGGATGAATTGAATTGAATTAATGTCTTATTTCACATGGCGAGACTCAGCCCATGAGGCCTGCTCTTCCGTCTGACCACGCAAATTTCGCTACGCTCCTTTCACCCACTAGCGGAGAAAGAAGGTATTACTTGGGCGACGAAACAGGCGATTTGAATTTAGCTCAGAGGCGTCATTTAGGCTTGAGAATCTTTTACATACAAATAAATCTAACATGGGATAGCCGGCTTTACTTCCCCTCCGAAGGAAGGCGTACGAAGGATTTTTTTCGCCCTTAAAACTCCACGGCTTTGATCGGGTTTGAACCCGCCAACTTGGGTACAACATCAGCTAACCGTTACACCATCGCCGCGCGCAATGGTGCGGGTGGGCAAGGACGAATCTCCTCAATCTCCACAGCAACGCCGCCTCCGCGGTCGCCTCATGCGAGTGCACAAGAAGTTGTCACGAGCACCTTGAGAATGATCCCCGACCTCTGTTAGATTGCGGCCAGAGATTGCTCGTATAAGCGCCTGCGTTACGCGCTCCGGAGCGACCGCGTTTCGGGCGAGGTCGCTCTCACAGCTGCGTTTAGCACGCGTGTCTGCACGTCTAGAGACGCGGGCAGAGGGCTGACCACCGCCGTCCGCCTCCGCCGCTCTACGAAACCGGCGTGCCCTTCGCGAGCCATGGCGGCGGCTGGCCGTGGGGTGCTCCCCCGCGGGGCGGGTTTGTTGCGCCAGAGCGTCCAAAAACACCGCAGCTGCCGCTGGGCGCGTGAGCGCACGACGCGTTCGCACAACGCGGAGGCCGCGGTGGCTCTGGTGGAAATGTTCGCGCTCCCGCGAGAAAGAACGGAAAGACTGAGAGTCGGCCGCTCGCCTCTCCCGGGTGCCGGCGCGTCGCTGGCAATCCCGTTGCTCAGCTGGATTGCCCTTGAAACAGCGGCGCTTGTACTCGAGGCAACCCTTGTACTTACGGCCGTGATTTTTGCAGAGACAGTTTCAGAGGCAAACCGAAGAACTTTCGCTGATGTCCATAGCCCACGCGTGCTCTGTGGGTCGCTAGAACATGTTATCGACGCTAAAATATGCTATCGACTGATATATATCAATAATCTTTAATACAGATTCTATGTCCAGATGGCGCCGTTGTATGGAGAGTACTCTACATTGCGACGTTGGGTCATCAAGATAAGCACATTCCTGTTACAATGATATATGGATACGTTCAATTTTAATATTTTTTAAATTTTTTACTTAAAATATCATAATGTGGCAAAATAGATTTTTTTATTTTTGAAAATTTAAATTTTGCCAAAAAAATCCCCAATATTTTTGTAACGTAAAATGATATAATTTTAGTCGTGAAATGTATTTTTCCGTAAAAAAGTGATTAACTTATAATGAGCTATATAAGTATAAATTATGAAAAGATTTTTTTTCAATATGACGCTCCATTAAGAAAAATCTTGAACAAATACGTAGTAAAGAGCATCTTAATATCAATTTGTATAACTTTTTGGAGCGTCACCTCAGAAATAAAACAGAAAAATATCGCAGAACCTTATTTTTTCATTTCAGTTTCCCGCCAATGTTTTTGAAAAACTCAAGATACATATCTCAACTATGTCTCATATTTTTTCAGAATTTTATCTCCGAAAAATGATATAAAAAATAAAAAACTGAAAATTCGTATTTTTGTTTTATGTTATGCATAACAATCAGGCTGTTGTTCTGACATTTTGCGAAAATAAATTTCAAAACCACACTAACGTTCTATTCAAAATTGAATTAAGTTTAGAGGTAGTTTTACTCCTCTTATCCTGCTAGTCTGTAGAACGTAAGCAATTTTTATTATTTCATTTACTGTATTTAAATTACAATTTGCATTTATTTAACTTTTATGATAGTAAATTTCAATTTTATGAATAATAATATTATTAATAATTGCATAACAATGCATAAACATTTACATAATAATACATTTACATAAATAATTACATTTTTTAAACTCAGAGGGGTAAGAAACCAACGTCAATATGCTTTTGGATTAGAAATATATTAAAGAATGAATTTGTGTAAACTGTACAACTCATGAAAAGGCTTCTCGACCGAACGAGAAACAAAAAACTAAATAAATTATACGCAAACAATTCAATACAAAAACAGTGTTAATGAAGAGGAACCAAAGAATAGATAAGCAAACCTGCATATAATATCATTGTAACCATCAGTATTTAGTCACCGTGAAATGAAGGAAATATAAACGTCCATTCCCAGATTTTCGCGGAATCCCGGAAGTAGACGCAACAAAACAAATCAAACATTCGAACAAAAATGACCGGTGACAAAGTCGCGGCAATTGCCGGGGCAACGCACTCCGTTCAGAGGCGCCTGCACACAGCTCCACCCCTCTGACCATCTCCGGCCCTCTGACCTTCCACCCCCGACACTACTCTGCCGCCTGCATCATGGCAGGGTCATGTTGTGCGCCGACGCAGCCGAGATCTTATGCCTCGTGGTTCGTACCTTGCCAGCTCATTCCGGTCACCTTCGAGATCCAACGAATGGCAATTCCACAAAGCGGTCGGTACTCTGCGATTTGGAAAATGGAATTTTAACTTTAACTCAAACATTACATTAGATCTTCATTGAGAATATGTTTGTCGGTGTAAAAATGAAGTGGAACGTGTTCGGAAAAATTCGCATTGAAAAATTAGTCAAGTATTTCAATAATTGTGGAATTGTTGATACTATTCAAAAACTATTCTTATCGCAGTGCAGAATACTTGATGTTGCAACAGAAATTGTAATCAGTGTGAAATATAACGTATTTATGTATTTCAATTTACAATATTTATTTTGAAAACAAATTTTGAAAGAGAATAAATTATAAAATTTCCATCAATTATAAAAATTGGAAATAAAGGGAAATTTTATTTGTTCCAAAGTTAAAACTTGTGAACAAAACAATAGTATATACAAAAGTTCAAATATAAAATGTTGTGATGTAATGCTGCATGGCTCACTTCAGTTCTTTTTTCTTTTGGAAATTGTGAAATTTTGTTTCAGTTGGTGCAGCAGTTGTGGGTAAGAATCTCAAGAGGTGGCCACATGCAAGACAACTGTCGAGACTAAGCAAACGGCTATTCTGCCCTTCAAATATTTCTTCTTTAATCCTCAATTTGTTCGGAATATCAACAATTTATTTTGAAAAGGAAGAAAAAACTCCAATGACCTTAAATCTGTCAAGGAGAGTACATATTAAATGTGCAACAGAACTTGTAAAATATGAAACATATTTTAACATTTTCATTTATACTCTTTTTAAACTGTAGATGTCTTTGTCATACCTATTTGTTTCGTTAGTACAGATATTCATCCCACAGAGTGATTTAATAAAGACGTCATTCAGGGGATCCATTTTTGTGTAGCTCTAAATGTATTCCTATTTCTAGTTTATACACGACTTATTAAACATTTAGATAAAACGGAAGAAAGCAATGTATACATTATGTTCATTACAACAAACACAATTAAGCACTTTCTTTCAGATAATTTCAATTCATTTTCTTTACTTTTTCTCATCAAAATGAAACAAATATATATATAATTGTATTTTTCCTGGCATCAGTAGGCTATACACATTTTTAAACGAACGAAACTTTATTTGAATTATTGAAAAGTTATAACTATATTTTGTGCAGGTGCGAATTCAGTCGCAGCTGTTACCACCGTATCTGCTACAGGAGGCTGCTTCCTTGCAAACGTGAAAAACTAAAGATTTTGAGTGGACCGGTGAGTAGTAAACTTGGAAATTAATTTTTCATCACATTAAGTATTTAGTCTACCACATTTGTCCTTACATTTTAAGCATTCATTTTAAATGAATATTTGATTTTGGAAAGAAGTAGGTGAGAATGTGTATTTACATTTTATTTATTTTATTAAACTTCTTACATATTAGTATTTCGTGCATTATTAAAACCCACATTTTTTTCTAATACACACCTGATGATTCTTTATAGACAAAAATATAAAGTTATGGTTTACAAGTTCTATTTAAAGTGTAAAAAGATACAAATACGCTTTCAATACAATTTATTAATTACTAAAATTAACCAACATTGAATTAATATGTGAAGTGGTTTGATATGTCAACTATACGTACCATTTTTACTTTCCACAGGGAATTAACGATATCATCAAGCCAAAGAACTTCAAAATTCACTGGAGCTGAAAACCAAAGTTGACTAACAGATCTACTACGCACGCGCCATTATGCAGAAAAACGGACTGGAAGCGAGGCATTAAGGAGTGTAGACATCATGTGCTTAAGAACTAAGCATCCAATAAATTGATTTTTCTAGAACCTTGACTTATTCATTTAAACAACAACTAGAGACTTGCTCAATGCATTGCGAAATTCTCAACTTCTTAGGAAGTGAAGCATATGAATCCTATTTGGGGGCAGGGGGAAATTCCACATGTATTTTTCTTCTATTAATAATCAATATTCAATAAAGAACGTGATAAATGTAGAATATGGATAATATACGTAGATTTAGAATATGGATAATATACGAAGATGCGAAGTGGACTCCCAATTCAAAATCCTAGTGAATAGAAGCACATATAATTTTAAGAATGAAAGTGCGGGGAAATTCGTTCGTGCTACTGATTAATTCTGATTTATCAGCTTATCGTTAAATCAATGAAATGCAGAATGAAAAGAAATATATTATTGAAAAAATACTCTATATTAATAATGTAGTTATTTAACTCAGAAACAATATACAATATTAATATAAAGGATATTAACTTTAGAAAATAATAAATCAATAAATCCTTAGCTGAGTGGATGATTCATTCTGAATAGTTACTAGAGGAATTTCTTGAACTTCATTGGTTTATATTTTACGTTTGATAACCATAGATTATAAGCCACGAAATACAGACAAGTCAAAATAATTGCAAAATTCAGAAAGCGGTCAGCAAAGAAGATGAATAATTTATTTTACTTGTGAAGTTAAAACTTCTACTTGTTAAGTGAACTTTAATGCAAACACAGTCACAAGGGAAGTCCATTAGGAACAGCAATAATGCTTCCAAGTATTTTTAAATCGTAGAAACAACAAAGCGAGTCAAATTTAACGAGAATGTTGGGTAAAACCGGGTCCGTTGCCGGGACAACGCACTTCGTCTAAGGCGCCTGCGGACAGGACCAACACTTCCACAACTCCTCCGTCTTCCGCCCCTCACCGCAGCCCCAACTGTTCACTGCCACCTGGATCATGGCAGGATCATGTTGCGAACCGGAGCAGCCCAGATCCTACGCCTCGTGGTACGTCCAGGCCTCATTCGTGTCCTGTGATACCATCAAGGATGCCCATCTTTGAGTTCCAGCAAATAATTCCATACAATTTTTCTCTTCCATTTAAATAAGTTCGCGTTCTGGATTATGTAAAGTTCGCAAACTAATACAATTGCCTCTTCATATAAAATCAGGTTAATTGTTAGTTTATGGTACGGTTCACGCAAAAGAACGAGTAACGCCGAGAACGATTCGGTCTCTTCGCTTTTGGTTCATTCTGCCGCAGTGCAATGATTTGTCATATGCTTTGATCACACCACATTGTAATGCTAAATTACTTGTTCCCGCCACATTGTAATACCAAATTACTTTCAAATACAAGATTTCGCGATTTCATGTTAATCCAAGTCTCGGCGAGCCTTGGGCCTTCGGCTCTCGCGTTTACTGTAAACAACCTTGAGTCTATGCACCATAATTAACCTTGACCATTAACCACACTATTTTCGCAAAAGATCATTTTTTGGCACCATTTTATAACAGAAACAGCATCATCTTTTGCATATCACCCAACCTCCAGTATTCAAACTGCGCAGTTACAAACGTGTTCTGAACAGTTCACAGTGAATAAGACTCTTACTCTAAAATAAGAATTATCCTAAAATATATATTTGGCAATAATGTTATGAATACAGGTGTAAATATGGATCATATTTAGTTAAGAATAGTAGGTGAGATGTCACAAGCGATACTCGTATAAGATTATTTATTACTAACATTATTTAGTTCGTGTTATTCACTCGAAAAACAAATATTAACTACAACACAACCAATTCTTAATCATCTTTGGATTTCAACCTTTTCAATCATGAAACTCGAGAACAAAGCATTCTCGTGAACCAAGCATAAACAAAACAGACACAACATAAATAAAAAATTGCAATATTGCGCTCCATGTGCCTCTTTCTTTTATAATAATTTGTGGAATTCTGTTTCAGTTGGTGCTGCGGTTGTGGGTAAGCGGTAGCTGTTCGGAAGACAACTGCTGAGACGACTCAGAACACCTGTTTCGCTTTTGAAGTTTTCTTTGTTTTATTAACACTTCGATAATGATAATAATTATCGTGAAAACTTGCGTCACCAAAGAACACAATGCTTAATTACACATTATGGAGTACATAATTACACTATTAATATACGAGTAATACATAATATTTGCAATTCATATTATCCATACATTACATTATATTTAAAGCGTATACACATTTCTTATAATTAATAATTCACTATTAACAATTCGTGTAGGGTGTAACGTAGTTGCAGCCTAATTAGAGCTGTTACTAGTTCAGGTGGCTCAGGATATCAATTGATGTCTCTGCAGTGCCTCTGACCGGGAGGTCCTAGGTGACAGAATTTTTTACAATAGCTTGTTAGTGGGTCGAATTCAGCACTGTCTGGAAGAAAATTCTAGCACCCGACTAAACTGAAAGGTAGTTTTTCGTGTTTTCACCGATCAACACCAAGCGAATGCCGGAGTAGAACCATAACAAAAAGGCGATGGAACGCGCGCGATATGCTCTTCTCCTCTCTTGACTTATCCTCATCCTTTACATACTCACAATTACTCTTATGTGCTCCACTCTACCAAACATGTTGGAAGATCAGTCGACAACTTAGAACGTGTACGGCTAGGGTGGTGGCCCCCTGAAGGGATATTCCAGATTGGGGAAAATCCTGCAAGCCGTAGTGTAGGATGGCGCCAGTTCTCACCACCCAGCAAGAAAGCCGCTCCCTACTTCCCGCGATAAAAATTGCGCATTGCACTTACGCACCTAATGACCTTGGTGCCTGACGCGTACGGACACACTAATCAATCAATCAATCAATCAATTAGGTCTCGTGGAACATATGATTGACACACACTCACAGAGAGATGGGTACTAGAGGCAGAAATAGTGAATCCAAAAACAATTCTTAGGTATATACGTGAATTACAAGTAAATAATTACTGAGCAAAATGAAAGATTTTACCTCAGAGTCAAAGAGACACTCGATATCCCTGTCTCCATGAAGGAGTCTGTTCATGACGTGTGTGAACCATAATAATTGAATGCGGGAGCGCTTTAGACGAGTAACCAACAAATGCGTGCCACAAATTCACACTTGTAAATATTACAATCTCTGATGAACATTCGCTTCAGTTTTGTGGATTATATCTACTACAAAAAAGTCAGTTCTAAAAAGTTACTAGTCTCGATAAGATCGACAAACGTGTTGCTGAGCTATATGTTTTGGTAACGACGTGAGTGAGACTAAATTAATCTTCCATTGCTTCGTGCATGGAGAGCTATCTCTGGCCGCTATACATGTATGATCGAACATTGGCTTCCCTTTTCAACAAAATCCCCGGACACCCACAACATGTACAATTTGTTACGACAATACGAGTTTGCATGCTTCACAGAGGAGAGTTCAACCCCCTGTGAAGCGTCCTAAACCTTATTCCTATCCTTATTTCTTCCCAATTCTGGCCTCTGGTTAGTAACGCAGGAGCGCGTAAGAGAGAGGCGCGTACGCGAAGATGCTATCTGGCGGTCCTCTTGATAACTCACTGATACGGGACAGGAGATATTATATTAATTAAAGGAGGATTACTCCCGCGCAATAGTTAATGGAGGATTACTTCAAAAGCGAAAACGGAATAGATTCTTCAAAATTTGGAATTTTCAAAATGTCTAGTGCATTTTTTCAAAACGTTTGTGGTTCTGCTACAGCAGAATTTTAATTAAATCAAATATAGTTTTTCAATGTACATATACAAAATTTTCGTCTATCGTAAGTCGAATTAATGTGTAACGCAAGTTTAAGAACGTACATGCTGTTTGTACTACCCATTTTAAATTCATCTTTTAGAAAGTTGATTTTTCATTGAAAGATAATGTGAATGTAAAAATGATTTATGTGTTGTATATGTGGACTTGTGTTGTTTTAACAACGTTGCTCTTAGAAAAGTCAAAAATGCAATCAAAACGGCGGCAGTAATTCTATAAAATAAAAAATGATCGTCAATATGCAAGAACCTGTTGATTATTACAACGGTGAAAAACATGTACTGAAACTTGTTAAAATAAACACTATTTTTTATTGATTTGAACTTCAGAAATTTAATGTTAACTATTAATATCTCTCGAGAATGTGGAGGTCATACTGTTTGAGCACTGGTTTTAATAAATAACCTTTTCTTTTCCATGTTTTCGATACAGATGCCCTTTCAATATTTAATTCGAACATTTATTATGAGTCTTCAATTCCTCGAATTGCGGTTTTCTGCCCATAGGCTCTTCTGGTGGGACCAAAATTCGTCTTATTGGAAAAAAGGCTCCTTGTAAACCCTTTAAGAATCGGATTTTTTTATATGGAAGAATGAAAGTTTTCCTCAATGAGATTTTTCATTAATTATAGGCGTGATTTTGCAGGTGCGAATTCAGTCGCGGATGTTACCATCGAATCTGCTATAGAAGGCTGCTCCCCTGCGAATATGAGAAACCAAAGATTCTAACTGGGCCGGTAAGTTAACATCTTCGTTGTTATATTTTACACATTTACTACTTATATCATTTACTATCATAATTGTGTTCGATAACCAACCCGTTGAGCAATCTATGTTAGTCTCAGTATGTAATCATATTTAATGATCGCTCTTCAAGTTAAATATTTTTATTTAAACCTTATGGTTTGATATAGAGGGAATTCATGGATCATGCATTTTAATTATGTTATATTTCGTTATTTGAAAATGCTACTATATTCTTCAACATAGTAAAAGCAGATGTTATAGGCTTTTACACTGGCAAAAGTAACTTCTCGTCGTCTTGTAATGTTCATGAACTTTTCTTCCTCATTAGTTCCTTTCTTTAATTATTATTGTTCTATTATTATTATTATTATTATTATTATTATTATTATATAATTTGCATGTTAGCTACATTATTGTATTTATGTAATGAGCTGCAACCGGGTTATGCCCATTTGCAATTTAAATAAATTTATCATATATTTTAACTTACGACCAGTTTATACTTAAGTAAATTTTGGTTATCTGCTTCATGTGTTTTCCCTTAGGGGATTAACGAGACCATCAAGCCAAAGAGCTACAAAACACATTTTGCCTGAACAAAGCTAAGACTAAAATTAAAACTACGCAGGCGCCATGATACAAAAACGACGGAATGGAATCAAAACATCAGAAGTGTAACAGTCACTACGTAATGTACTAACCAAAAAAGCAACCAATAAAAATGTAAAACTTTGTATTTTCTTGACTTCTTTATTTCAATTTCGTCAACGTTTTTCTTTACTGTATTGATTAATGAAGTAGTTGCTTCCAAATAAGAAGACATTAGTTGAAAATGTGATGACGTTATAAAATTCATCTAAATCTCAATTACTCGTATCGCTATATATACTAGATGGTTTTGAAGATATTAGGCTGGCGTATTCTCACACTTTTTGTGTCCTGTAAGGAGATGAAATCTTGGCAACATAAGCTGCGTCAGTTAATTCTCTGGTGAGATTAATATCTCCAAGATGGTGATAGGAGATATCTCGGTGGTGACTTAGACCTCCAAACAGCGTCGCGGCATCCGTCTGAGGACCAGAACGACTGCTTCTGGTTGGTTTCGGTTCCGGTTCTGGTTCTTGTTATCATCGTCCCAGGGGTAGAAAAAGAAGCTCCTGTAAAAAGTATTTCTTAAATAATTTGAATTGTGATCGGGTGAATCCAGACAGGTGCCTATCGCATTTCATTGTAAGAGGTGGCAGGGAAAGAGCACTCGTACAGAGGCCACGCTGTAGACACGAGAACTAGCAGACTGGCTCCCGCTACTGAGGTACTATTTACAAAAAACAGGAGAAGCTTTCTGTTGCGAAGTGAGGAACCATTGGCCTCCTCTCTTTTCCTTAGGACTAGCCTTAACAGAAACCAGATAAAAATGATTAGGATTTATGTGTGAATTGAGAGATTGAATTCAGGGAGAAGTGAAGATGGCACCAATTTAGGTGTATGGTTGTAGCCACACTTCAATATTTATGGGTACAAAAATCGTACACACACTTCAAGCAAAGAAAATAATGTGTTAACATAACAAATCTGTATTCACGCACACACACACATACACACACATACACACACACACGCACATAAATGATGTCAGACATTATTCATCTTAGACAGTTATAACAGATACTCAAAATGCCTACCATCTGCGTTGATACACTTCTGTCCGTTGATTTTCTGTTTGAGCAACGTTTGCGAGAGTGTTCTCGGTAATTACAGCAAACGTCGCACCAAAGTATTGCAACCGTAGATTTTTTTTTACGGTAAAGACCATTCATAAGAGTTTCCGTAAGAAAAAGTTCAATACAATTAGAGCCGGAGAACGCGGTGAAAACTCAATCGGGCTTCAACGTCATTTCAAGTGCCCTAAAATGCAGGTGAAAAACGTTTGTCGAACTGAATGTAGGGATCACTCGCGTCGCTTTAAAAGAACCGCCACCGGAACGCAGCAGTGAGACGGTGGCGCCCCTTAAAAATACAGGCACCGCTCACGAGAGGTCGCTGAGTAGGGGTCGGCGCAACCGTCACGCATCAGTCAGAGCGGTCGAGCGCGCCATTACCCTTACGGCAGGACTACTCGGTGTGCCTTCAGCCCGGACTGTGAATAAAATGGCGCCCAGCGGGTGGAGAGGTCAGTTCAAGTCATCCCAGCAATAGTGCGAGCGAGGAGTTTTAGTGAATGGTGATGACGCAGCCTGTGAGGGTGAGGAAATCTCTTCTGGCTTCTGGATCGCGACCACTGCATAGTTAATGGTCCTCTCTTCGATTTGGTCGATCTGCCAAGTCTCCGGCATGTCTCCTGGCAATTTTTGTAGCTACGCTTCATTATGGTATTCTCTGTATGTTGTGCAACCTGAATATAAACAGTTTTACAAAATTGGTTTGTTTTTGGTCATAACGCTGGTTTGTATATTGTAAATTTGTAAATATTCTCTTTCGCCTATGTACTGTATTCAGTGTAATTACGTAAATATGCATAAGTATGTTACACGAAAATTTTTCCTTAAGAAGTAACTTAAACGGCGATAAGAACACGAAATGTGTATTTGGCTTCGCCGATTCAATATTCCTGTTCACATTCACCCTGTGCAGTAAGCTCAATACCTATCGCACTGCGACCATATTCGTGAATACAGCCTATCCGATATTTTTTTACCATTTTATGTGTTTTATGAAAGACGCCTTACAGACTTCATTCTGCTTCATTCTCAAAATTTGTTCTGTTAATTAATCTCATTTTCTCCCAAAGTGTAATGATCTTTTCTACACACTTCTCGCATTGTTTTCTTTATTTAAATAAACGATCATAAAATTACACTGTTTAAAATAATTTTTCAATTAAAATTCAATAACCTCAATGCAAAGACAGTAATATCTCTTGAAAACATTTTTCTTCGTGAATTCAATCTTACTAGTTCGACCTGGGCGAAGATCTCGAACTTTGTAAAACCATTGATTTAAAAGTGAAAATTCCTTCATGATGGAACTCAACTTTTAACGTTTCTAATAATACTTTTAAAGAAGAGAGTAAACCTTCTAAAAATGTGATGAACCATCGAAAACTGTACGTTTGTTAGATTAAAAAGAATTAAGATTACGAAGAATAAGGAAGATACTTCGTGTTCCAATAATGACAAAAACTTGCTTAGAACGCTAAGGATGCACCATTTACACGCCAGTTATGCGGCGTTATAACGTGTAAGGCAGCCGAATATGTGCGACCCCTCAGAGTAATGTACTACACGTACTGAAGGATATTGACCCAAGTACCTGTTGCGCCCGGCGATCCTGGGTTCGGTTCCCGGGTCAGGGCTAAAATAGAATTGTAGATTTCTTTTAAAATCGTCTCAGTTTCAGTAGCTGTGTAACGAAGAAAATCTCAGAAAGACGGAATTTTTTAGTTACTGTGTAGGGAATACGCCGCTCATGTATCTCTTACCCCGAAGCATGGAAATTAAACTATGCCCAGGCATGGTGGAAACCGTTAGCTGGCCGGCAAAGTGGGACAATCGACTCAAAATGCCAAATAGATACATACATTCTTCTTCTTTTTAGAACTTTTATTCCGACGACAGGTTACCCTTTTCATCCCAATAGGACTCATATTCTACCGCAGTCACTAACATCTGCGGGCACCTCTGTGGTCAGCAGAACGTGAAGCCCTCCGCGACAACACGTCCATGAGAGGCAAAGGACAAACAATCGTGTCCTAGGCGGGACTCAAACCTACCGACCGTTAGGGCCAAAGCGCTGAATTGGTTCAACACGCTCTTAGCCGCGTCGGCTACCCAGGTCGACCACATACATACATACATTCATAAATTACAATGACCTGCATTGCTACCAGTCCTAGAGGAAACGGGTAACAGCACATTACTGCGTTGGCATTACATAGGATGTTTTAGAATGACTATTCCACTCGTGGAATGAAAACCAATAGTGCTTGACTACAAAATCAAAATCCCTCAATTAGAGCGGTATATCTCAAAAAGTTTATCTCTTTTCATATCCGATTTTTCGTACCGCTTCTCCGTACTAAGTAATCATAAACTGTGACTCATTATCTTCTATTTTAGGAGAAGGTATCGCCATGTCGACGTCCAATAAACAGCGTATGTACTATAACATCACCTCTTTGATTTTAACATAGTCTACCAGTGGTTGCGTAGGCTTCCGCGGCCGGAGTTTATGTTGTCTAGCTATCCGGGACGAGCCGCGTCACTGACATGGTGGCTAACGTTTCGACCGGCGTATTGTGGCCTTCTTCAGCACTACGCTCTGAAGAAGGCCACAATACGCTGGCCGCAACGTTGGCCACCATGTCAGTGACGCGGCTCGTCCCGGATAGCCTAGACAACATAGTTCACCAGTTGTATTCAATATTTGACGTACTTTGCGGCTTCAGGGTTCGCTCGCGGGTTCAAACCCGATCGTAGCCGTGAATTCTTAGGGCGAAAAACCCCTTCGTACGCCTTCCTTCGGAGGGGAAGTAAAGCCGGCTGTTCCATGTTAGTAGATTTACTTGCATATAAAAGATCAAGCCTAAATGACGCCTGTGAGCTAAATTCAAAATCGCCTGTTTCTCGCCCAAGAAATACCTCCTTTCTCTGCTAGCTGGTGAAAGGAGCGTAGCGAAATTTGCGTGGTCAGACGAAAGAGCGGGCCTGATGGCCCGAGTCTCGCCACTTAAAATAAGGCAAATTCAATTCAATTCAATACTTTGGAACTCTCTTGGACATAATTTCATAAATGGAGTAGTCCTATTAAATATCACTCGAACTTTGGAAATTCTAATGTAAATTCTCCTTGCTTCGCGAGTCGGGGATTTATCGACAATTTCCCAAGCACTCGTGGTACTTATGATAAAATACGCCAGCGGTTCTGAGAAAGGTGAGCGCAGCCATCCTGAGCGGGCCTGCCTAGGTCTCTCCTTGGAGCGGGCGCGACCGCACCCGGCCGTCGACGCTGGAGGCGCCACTGAATAACGCAGACGCGCTGTCGCTCGGTCGGAAGCGACGCCTCTGACAGCGGAGATTGATTAAACCCGCAGTCATCCCGCTGCGCCCCGCTGCGCCCCGCTACGCCCCGCTCCACGCGGCCTCGCAGCAGCCCTCAGCCCCGCTTCGGTCCGCGGCGCGGCGCGGCGCGGCGTGGCGAGTCGAGTCGGTCGCCTGGCATGCGCGCAGTCCCAGGGGCCCACCACACGCGTTGCTCGCGCCCATTAGACCTGCGGCTGCCCCCCCCCCGCCCCCACACCCGCGCGAAGCCACACACCGCTGCAGACGCGTTCTTCGACAGGTCCGGCAAATCACAGCGCCCGGCGGCGGATAGGCAGAGTTTACTCTTTTGGTTGCAAAATGGATTCTCTATTACGAAATTTTGTCCACGTCTGTTCGGCTTGACATTTCGAATTATGTTTTAAAGCAAATGCCGGGGTTCGTGCAATAGTGATCTGGACAATATTTTTTTAATTTAATTTATTTATAATGGTCGTATAAACATCTAGTCTTGAGCGACTATAATCTTATAATACAGAATCACATGTATTTACAAAGTATTTCTATAGTAAGTTACTATATGACAAATCAGGAAGTGTGACTCATCTACAGTGTACATACTATACATTATTATGGATAGGTCAGACGCTAGACGTGGAGGAAGGCATCAAACAGATATATTTTTATTGACACATGACCTGGTTTTGAAATAGATGTATACAACTATCGAGTTATATAAGGAAATTAAATGTTAACAATTAGCATCTCAAGAACAATAGTTTATGTAGTAACAGAGATTAACACTTCTGCAGTTTTTTAAAAAAAATGAGAAAAACGTTATATAGTTGTGGTTAGAAAGAGTTGTGAAAAATAACAAAGGTGACTTCATTCTTCAGGTAGCTGTCTACCTGAGAATTCAAGAATTTTGTGTCTATTTTGTTTTCCTTTCTACATTTTACGATTTCTCTATGCTTTTAGAGATCAAATAATTTAAATTATTTTCTTTGTTAATAAATATTTGGCCATAATGCAGGTTTTTACTTCAGACATCATAACTATGACAAATTGATGTATTTTGATAATTCTTTCCACTTTCTCTCCCTTAAAGTACTTTTTAAGAAGAGAAAGTTATATAATGCTATAGAAAAAACGGCGATTTTTTGGCAGACAAACTCTTATTCCCATGCCCTACTAAAGAGAAAGTGGATAATCTAGTTTCTAAATTTAGAAAAAAAATCCTCTAACCCGTGGTGCAGCCAGAATCCATGTTTTGTGGGTTCTTCATACAGATAAATCGATTGACGGTAAAACGTTTGTCAGTCCATCGGTGAGCAACTCTAGCTCTTAAATTGTTCAGCCGATTTTCTTCAAAAGTTATATTTTCTAATATATCTGACATGTCGCAGCCCCTTGAATATGAAACTAAGTATTTAATTTTGGGTGGGGGGGTAATTTACATGAAGCCCCTGCACCTTTTTTAAAATTTTCAAAAAAATAGCCCCATTGATTTTGATAAAACTTTGTTGTCGAATAGTCTGAAGAACGTTTAAGAAAAGGTGAGATCGAAAACCTGATGTTTCGAAAATTGAAAAAAATCAAAATATTTTCAGGGTCTTTCTACAACTAAAATTTTTACGTGGGTGGATACAAATTGAACTTTAAGTGATATTTACGTGTATTCCATTTTCGCGCATTGTGTTGAAGTTTTAGTACTATTGCTCCTGATGTTTCTAATAGAATTGAGTTTAATTTCCTCGTTGGTCATTACTGACACCTGCTGTTGTATGATAAGATAATGGCTATGCTCGCAGACGTATTACTAGCTGAAGAACTAATGTCATCATTGTGAAACGGTAGCATGTTGTACAAATTGAAAATTTATTTCCCATTATTTGTGCAAATAAATGGAAATTTGTAGTTAAAGCCGATGAACTTGCAATAACATTCCTGTATTAACTTGAATATCATGTGGAGAGTATAAATTATTTTCTATTTCTTGCACCAGCCGTTGTGTTGATACTAGTAGTTTTTGGAAGTATACAAAATGACTTCATGTACTTACATTTCCAGATTATACCCATGTTCTCGTCGACTGACCCACCATCAGAGTGGAGAGAATATGCGAGCAACGCGAATTAGATGGCTATGAACGATAAGTGTTGTTCATGAACATTGAGAAATGTTCCATGTTTTCGTCTAGCAGAGATGTGAAGAAACCTCTTACCTCTTGTAATCTCCAGTTTATATTAGAGCTCAATGCCTTTGTCATCATATAAACTTACTATTAACGCATCTTCGATGTAAGGCATTGTTTCAAACATCGCAAAGTTCTGATTCAGCGTACGAAGAGTTTACAAAAGCCTCCTTTCAAAGAAGTTCAGAATACAACTAATCCTCAACTCTCTTCCATTACCTCTCCAAAATAAATCATAAACAAATGCCTGACTGAAATCACAACACCCTGAAGCCTTTTCTTTTTTTTCCCCAGACATTCTCTCCGTTACTCTGATTGATTTGGAGGATTGGGGAAATGTTTTAACTGTTTGTTACGTAGTGAATTATTTTTTCTCAACAAAATGGACTAATATATTTTTTCTTAATGTAGCCAATTTTTTAAAAAAGTATACTAATAAAATATCAAATAAAATCACATTCAGTAAACAGGACGGTGAATTCGGAATGTAGTGACTGACTTCCGTTGCTTCTGAAATATAATACATTACATAACAATTTTTTTTAATCGGGTTGATTCTCGTTCACCGTCCCTATTTCGCGCAGTGGCGCATTTCGAACGCAAGTTGCGAGCAGTATCTGTTGGGCGTGCGATCTGCGTTGAACTTGCCCCGACCGCTCTGCCAGTGCGTGCGCCCGGCGCAGCTGCCCGTCGCGTCAGAGGCCTCCGCCCGCAGCGCCGATAAGCAGCGGGAGGCGCGCGCCAGTGCCCCGGCGTTGCTGGGACCGACTCGCCACCGCCGCCGCCGCCATGGCCTTCGTCCTCTTGGCGCTCGCCGCCGCGCTGCTGGTGCCACGCCCGTCCGCTCACGACGCCACCGTCGCCGGCGCTGCCACCGCCACGCTCGGCCCTGACTTGGCACTCGCCTCGCACGGAGCAGGGTAAGCTATTCTCCACGCACGTTTTCTGGAGCCTTCTGTTCTCCAGATGCGAGAGGTTATGTTGACAACAGGACTATTACATTGCGCCTGAAGCATGTTTCGCATTGCAAATAGTTTCTATTTCACTAGACAGCACATTTCTGGTTATCAGATTTTTTTCGACAAATCGCATTGTTATATTTTATTTTTAGTTGACCTAATGACCAAAGGAGACGAGGTAGGTTTTTCGAGGCTCCAGAAAATATGAACATATGATACCTGATATGAACGTTAGGTGCTCGTGTTTTGATTCTTTGTAATTTCGTCGCTAGATTGTACTGTTCTTCATTTCTGAATAAATATGATTGTCTTAGTTCCACAGTTAAAATATTCAACTGCGCATACTCTCATATACACTACATTACCTACCCTGCTGAGCCTGCAGCCGTTACCACTGCTGCCCCTCCGCTGACGTCCCTTGCCGTAACGTCTGGACTAGACACTGTCGCGCAGTTGCCCCATTAAAATTAGTGTTTTATTAAAAAATTTCAAAACATTCAAAATAGAGAACAAAACGGCTGTATAGTGTCAAATAAATCTCTGGGAATGATGGAAAATTTTAGCCCGAAGCTGTAACCACAAAAAGTGCAATCAAATTTAAAACAATGACACAACTAAAAAAACGCAAAGTTTTAGTTTTAAATGTGAATTTATGGGATTTACTGCGCATTAAAACTCTCAACAATGCACACTGTTAACTTTTGAACTATCTCATTTACTGCTTGTAAATACATCTCCAAACAGTCTCAGAGACAGTGGCGAAGATTTTCCCAAAGATACCTCTTTGCTTAAGTTCAAGATGAAAGCATGAAGTAAAACTGATATTTTTGACTACGTACTTAATTTTCTCGTAGTTGATTTCATTTCTAGAGACCAGCTCCAAATAAAACACCCATCGCCGCTACCAGTTACCAACAACCCTTCTACCCGGAATCCTCCACTCTTCCCGTTCCTGCTTTTTTGATTTGCGCCACTGCAGCAGTTCACGAACGATATTCAAATTGTTTTCTGGCAATGAAAGGCTTTTTCTAAAGCTGAACGACTGCACTTGCCGCCATATTGTATTACAACAATTTTGCTCAAAGGTTAAAACGCTACACGTCAATGGTCCCCAAGAAAATGTATAAACCTATGGTTTCGATATGTTGATGTTGAAAAACTGGAATATTAATTATAAAATAACATTAAGGATATAAAATAATTGATACCACGCTTTTTCAATCCTTTTATTTTTTATTTATGTCAAAAACAATACTAGTCTCAGTCAGTGTCTGATATGATAAGCTACATTTAAAAATTCAGAAGCAAAGGCAAGAAATCATCTCAACATTTTCCCAACAGGTCAAGGAAAACACTGAGAACCTTACTGAGATGGAAGTCACTAGCACCCAAAGTTAATTACAATATTTTTTTACTGATACATTAAATAGGATGGATAACATTGAAGAAAACACTAGTTGATTACTTTGTCCTGTTCCTCTAAAAAATGAAAGTTTGTGTAAATAGTTTTTGAAATAGTGTTTAATTGACTTACCCTCCCTAATACCACAATCGCGGGCTAAGAGAAACACTACAACAAAAACTTGATTTTCATGTAGGTCTCACTAAATTGCACATGAGCATCTGTTACGCTTTTTAAAATGAATTTCTTGATGTTGATGGTTTTATGTGACCTCTTCCCAAGTTTCTGCTAAAGTGTTAGAAGAGTAAGAAAAGTGTTGGGAACAGCTCCTTTAAATATTATTTTCTGGCCTTTTAAATCCATATCTTATGGACAAAGTGTTGTAAACAAATAGATCAAGCATAAATTGGTTGCCTGACCTTCTAATGACGTTATTCCATCTTTTCTGAAATCTTGGATTGGGAATGAAATGAAAAATCTTCAATTATGCACTACACAGGACATTGATACACTCAACCTTCTTTTCCCATCCGCTTTGTTAAAGCGGTTAAAGCAGTTAAATTAATCTTAACAAATATAATAATCGTCAACTGACAGAATTTAATAACAAAATTGATGATGTCTTGAGCGTGGAGCATGAACCGGTAAAAAGTAACCGGTGTATAAAAAATCCAATTTATTTTCCTCTGTGCTGCAAATTTGAAAAATTAAATCTAAATATCATCCAAATGTTTTCGATCGTGATGTAAATGATTCATAATTTGGCAAACACAATCAACATTTGATTAAAATTAAGAAAGAAGCTCGTACATAACCCTACACAACAGTGACATCGAACGATCCTGGAAAGATATAAGATTGCCACTAGTGAAAGATTTTGGCTTCACTAGCGTCAACACCATACTCCGATTTAAACATAGTGGGACTTCATGGTCACGAGTTGGAAGGGGAGAGGAACATTGACATCCAACCGAAAGTTCCAATTCCAAACATTTAAGTCTACTGAAGCTCCCGATTAGATGACAGTGACTTTTCTCCGTCCACTTCGTGACCTGGAAGTGCCACTCAGTTTAAACCGGAGTATATGAGATAGGACGTACCCAGGCTTGTAATCTATGTCTATGGGCCACACTGATGGAGCGCAGATAAGCGCCGAGCCAGGGCACAGCCAGAGACCCACTAGAGTAGCCTTGGTCGAAATCAGAGCTCAGCCACCTCCTCTCCTTCTCACTGTTCCGATAACTTCTACAATAGTTTAAATCACGTACAAGGAGAAGTCACTTACGAAATAGGAAATGACCAACTCCTACTCTCCCGCCTAAGAAACAGACTTCCATTTCACATTTTTCTTCAGTATGTCTCCGACATTAAATTTCTTGCATTTACCTGTACCTCCTATCTCTCCTATCGTGACTATTTTTTTTAAATATTGCTAATCTTGCGATTTTTAAAATTTATTTTTATTTATTTATGTTAAACTTTTACTCATCTTTCAACTATTAATAGTTAAAATGACGGGAAGGTATTCTGAAATTCAAGAAAACGTGCCCAGATAATCTTTTCCCCCTATATCACATATACTTTTTACTGTTTTTTGACTCAATAAATCTAAATTCCTCCTATCGTATTCCTTACTATAACCTGTCATCATCCTCTAACAAACGTGTCAAGAATTTTCCTCGCATTGACCTTGGTTGAAGGTGTCACTATCAGGGAGGTGACAAGATGTTACCACCTTCACACTTCTCTGATACTCGGTCACTTAACTGTAGAGCCTGGGTGCTGAACGTTGTACTGCCTGTCAATGTTAAATAATAATAAAAAAAATAAAAAAAAGTGCTCTGATGATTCAGGAACGGCACTGCATCTCCGGCGGCGGGGGGTTCGAGCGTTGCGGTCCCGGGGCCGGGTCGCCCCGCCCCCCCGCGGCCCGCCCCGCCAGAGCCGGAGCCGGAGCCCGAGCCGCAGCAGGTGATGGTGGGCGCGCCGCGCAGGCGCTTCAGTAATCTTCGCCGCTGCGACGTGGGCTACTCGTGGATCCGCGGCCTCTGCCGCCGCGTCTTCGGCACCGAGGCCACCTCCCTCGCCACCTAGCGCCCCGGGGCCCCTCGGAAAGCCTCGGATGGGACTAGCGGAACAACTGGACAACACACGTTCGTTCCAGTACCGCTTAAGGCGAGGATGTGCTAACTCAAAATGTTGATCGTTTCTCGGTGGGGTCATTCCGCTTTGTGGCGCTTCCGGGGGTGATATGGCACTAATATGGCAATGATTAACATTTTGAGTGTTAATCCATTTTTCCCCTGAGTTCTTAAGGAGTTAAAACAGTTATATAAAAAAAAGTATATCCATCTACGATGAAGTGTTTGGCAAGAATAGAGAAAACTGAATTGTGAAGAATTTGTGGAAAACCAATTTATGTCAAGAAAATCTCAAACGTAAACTCTGCCATAAGAGTTGCGAACCTCATTAAATACAGTTATGGTTATAATATGAGGTTCATTTTAAGGATGGAATGCATCTAATAAAAATTAAGACAAAATTGTGTTCTATAAAACTCAATCTCTTGCTCAATAAACCAAGAAATCAATTATCAATATAATCAAGAATACTATATAGAATGACCCACCAACGTCGGGCCATCCTCATAACTTCTAAACGGTTCACGACATGGAAATGCAGATTTTACTCGACAATGCAATATCATTGGGCAACTAGATGCTGTTGAGATATTGTCTCAAATGTTTTGAGTTTTCGAGATATTAAATCGTCATTTATTTTTAATGGCAATCATATATTTTTCTCACCTGCAAAGGACAGATCATAAGGGTGATCTAATGATGCATCATAGGCCAGTATGATATTAATTCGAACATAAAATTACTCTTGTGACTTTCTTTAATTAAACGCACAAGAGTTCACTAGCAGCCCTTGCAACTGCCGCGTTTGGGGAGGTGGCCTTCGCGACGCAGAGGCTCTTCTGGGCGGCGCTGCGAAGCGAGGGCCACCCTCCCCACACTTAAAGATAAAGATAAATTTATTTAAACTAAAATTGAGAAAACCCGGTGATAGATAATTATATAAATAAGGCCCTGTAAGTAACATAAAATTATATAATAATAATGGTACAATAAACAAACAGTGATAAAATAATAATAATAATAATAATAATAATAATAATAATAATAATAATATAAAACGTGACTGATTCATAAAACATTAAGTTACATTAAGAAAAAAAAGCTTCTATAATCTAACTCCGCTCTGAATGTTTGTACAATTAAGACAATACTGCTTTGCTCTGCACTTCACTTCACTTGACTTCACATTACTTCACTTGTTGCAGGGGCTGTTACAAAAACGTTTGTCGGTAAAATTTAAAATCTCACCTTAGAAAATATGATTTTATATTTGCAGATTGCTCGGCTACTGTCGGTACATAAACAAATGATACAGCGATGTATTCCTATTTTTATGATCAATCCATTGCTATCGTGAAAAATATGTAGAGTCATTTAAAAATTAAAGATAATGCAATTGCTAATTAAATCTAAAAATATTAGAAACAATATCTGTACATAATATTACTTGCCTCATAGTTGAGTATTGTTGAGTGAAAGCTGCATTTTGATAACGTGAATCGTTTATAAAAGGGTTTACCATTAGCCCGAAAGGTTACTAGTCAAAAGTGAAAACTCTTGTATTGTGTCGGGCAAGAACGTTGTGTACCTAGCGCACGCATCCTGCAGAGGGCAACACTCCATTAATGTAGAAATTGGATAAATTAGAGTTAAGGAATTGTTTTCTAGTAATTTCAGAAATTCAAAATCAGTCCAATGTGTTTCACTGCATTGTGCCTGATATCATGCATTGTTTCACCCACCTCGCGCGGTTTCAGAGCAGCCTGCAGCTTGGCAAACTGCGAAGATTAACAATACGGGTCATCAGGTCAGCTGACTCATGTGTAGATTGCCCGAGTAATGAATGTATGGCTCGCAACGACGTTAAAGGTTTTATTTCTTGCCCTTTAAGCCTTGCAAGTTGGATACCCCTATTCAGAAGATATGAGGGTGGCCCACAGTTGATAGAGAATCCGGTATGTAAGTTAAGTCAATAAAAAATTGAATGTGAAATGAATTTTTCGCCAAACGATTCAAGTAGCAGATGATCATCAGTTGTAGTTATTAACTTTTTATAGCATTTTTATTACTATTTACAACAGCACGAGTTGACTAAACAATTTATAAACGGTTTTATGCCAAAGGTTTGTAGAAAAAACATGCCATGGAGCCACAAACCTCTACTCTGCACTCTTTACGTCACTTATTCTCTGCAAGCGACCAACATCTTTCGCGATTTCTAGACTGCATCATTTATATTTGTGTATCACTACGTCCATTGACGTTCAGAGGTCACAATGTGCGCTAAGTATCCGAATACGCTGCGTTCAGAACCGACAAACGATGGAAAGCCTGGAAACGCTTAGAAATTCAACTCACTGCAAACTTTGGAACATGTTATAACATCGGATTTTTTAACTCATTATTGTTTGCACTATTCATCAAGTGCAAACATTTTTATCATTGCTTTATTTGCCATCTGAAGACTAACAAATCGTGTAAAAAAATGTTAAGATAGTGTTGTTTTAAAAATGGAGTTAGTCCAATATCTTTAACATAGAAAACGCTATAAAAAAGCTAATAACTACAACTGTTGAGACCATATGCCCTAAATCGTTTTGGGAGTAATTTAATTTCAGTATCTTCAGGCGCGAATTCACGGGGGAAAAAATGAGGGAAATCCCCCCCCCTAAATTTTTCCAGTAACTATTAATTTTAACTTGTCTTGAAACTTACAAGCGCAAATATTTTCGGATAATCATTAAAGGAATAAAATCGTATCGCAGCATCATTTGAGAGTATCCTGCAACATTTTGCAATACATGCGACGGAAACATTTTTAAATTCCCTTCCCAAAGTTTGTCTCTAGATCCGCCCTTGGTAGCTTGGCGGTTTAGGAAATATTCAGGTTAGTCAATGAAATCATGCACATTAAATATTTAATTAATTTTATTGTTACTAATACGTTATAGCTTGTTATTGTCTTCGATACGGAGTCCGATATATGCCTCGTAACTCACCTGGATTGAGAGGGCCGTGGTTACGAGGAATATATGAAAGAAGCTAAATTCCTTCCTTACGGAGGAAATTAGGAGAGGGAATTAGGAAAGAGAATTATGGGAGGGAATTATGAAAAAACAAACCAAACAAGTTAGCATCTACTTCATTAGTAAATTCAATTTGAATCATTAAAACTAGATAAAGTGTATAATCGTGTATGTACCATGGGCGTTAACTGGTTCCAATGATAGAGCTGAAAGACTCGGGCCAAAGACCCTGGGGCTTTTTGACGCCGCTCGATCATTAGAACCTTTACAACGCCCTTGGTTTATAAATAACTATTTGTGCTCAATTTATTATTAGTCCAATTTTTCTTTTTCTAATATTTGCATGTTTAATTATGTTACACACGTACTTTTACTGTTACATGTTATGTTACACACGTACTGTAAAACTGTAACTCACATACGTACTGTAAAAATACACACGTACTGTAGAACTGTAAATCACATCTTCAAAAACATAATGAAATTTAATAACCGCTTCTAAGAGAATAAATGATAGGAATAGATGTTTCTAGTTCTTACAAAATGATAAATGATACCACTACTAATTTTTATTTGAAACTGATACGAACAATTAATTCATTTTCATTTGTAACTTGCCCATTTAATCAATAACAGTGAAGACGTAACATTATTATTTCCCTAACTGCATAATGAAAACCAGCAATTACGTAAGGGACGTTTGCAATTCATGGCCAATTAGAAATATTAAATTCTTTAGAATTTCGATGAAAATGGTCAGAATTTAAAAAAAACGTCGGCCATAATGATGAGATGGGTCAATGATGATAAGAGTGAAGCATAAATTATCACAAAATATTTTTTTAAGACGACATAGTAAAACTGAAGAATCAGACTTCTCCGCGTCTACTTTATCCACTTTTTTTAAAATTCATGTAAAAATAATGATTAAAAATTTGTTCAATTTAGGCTTATCATTTCCAAACGAAGGTTATACGAGAGACGGCTAACAAGGGGTAACCTTGAGAACAAATGCTGCGTGCTAAGATCAGTTGCCCTCTCCCCTTCCCTGGCCGCTCCGCCCATCGCTCGGGGGCCCCAGGGGGCGATTCGCGGCCGCTCGCCCGCGCCAGACCCGTCCGCGCACTCGCCGCCATGCGACTGTTGCACCTCGTGCTGTTGCTGCTGCTGGCGGCCGCCGCCGCCCTCGCCACCCCTGCGCCGACGCCAACCCCGTCAGGAGGCACGGAGCCAGCGCCCAGCACGAGCCCCATCCCCTACACCAACAGTGACAGCGACAGCGACAGCGACAGCGACAGCGGCAACGACAGCAGCGGCGAGGAGGAGGCGCGGAGTTTCATTAGAGCACCGCGGCGGCGCTGCGACCCCGGCCAGGCCTACATCCTCGGCAGGTGCAGGAGCCTCACGTGACGGCTCGGGGCGGCGGCGGCGCTTGCGTATGGAATGACTAGCAAAACATGGTAAAGCACGATTTCGATTAGTCCTTACTATTTGTAGCTTTCGCCTGCTTTGGGAATGTAGAGAATAGCCAGTTAATGTAGATAAACTGCCAGGTATTTTTGTTATATTTTTTCCTTACTAAATTTTTTAAAATAAGAAAGTCAAAACAAGTTGAGGCTACTTCCATTTTCGGCAAACTATCTCAATTTTTGGAAATTCCAAACAAAAAATTAACTTTTCAATAGTACAATTTTGATGCTAGAGTTCTTTTATTTAATAAAACCTGTTTTAAAATCTCTCATTTAAGAAAAGTGATGTGCATTATAAAAAGAGTATTTCAACGTAATGTTACCAATTCTAGTTTTCAGCTCTCTATTTGCTAGTCTCCAGGAAATACCGGAACTAAATGCGACGTTGCGACAAGACGCATCGTAAGACGGCAGTTGGATATTCTGAGAAGTCTGTTTTTATTGTGGGATATGTCACAAATGTTTAAAACACAGCTTTAAAGGTCAAATTTGTTTTAAAATAATTATTTTTCGTATCTAATGTTCCAAGATTTGTAATGGTTAGAGAAAATATTTCCATACAAATGCAAGTTTTTAATTCAGTTTTGTAGAACTTCCTAACATTGTAATTATATTTTTTTGGGTAAAACTCTTTTTAAAAATGCATACTTTTTCCATGCGTATTTGCTGCTTTGGATAGTTTTTTAGACATTCATGCATAATGCACGTTTGAACAATTTTTTAATTAACTGTTTACACTGTGTGTGACAGACTAGGAAGAAAAGTGTATTTTGTGTACGTTTTCTTAAATCAAGAAATCGCTGTTATAACCCATAAACAAGTTGAATTCTGAAGACAGTTGGCATTGAGCGTTTCTGGTAAGAAGTGATAAGAAAATATTCGCTCTGTATATTACGTGTCAAACGAATTGCTTATTGTTGCGTGAACAATGTCTCGCTGAAAACAACACAACACAACAACGCCGCACTAACTCAGGTGTAGCGACTGCCGCCAACGCCGCCAGCGACGCCGCTGGTTCATATAATTCGCTTCTATATTTACTTGGTGTGTACTTCGTGTTTTTTGCCTTTTTCCCAATAATTTTGCAATTGTGGTCCTGACGACTATTGTATGATGATTTTAAGAGTTGCTTCTGAATATCCTTCCTAGTTGGTTCGCCTTTGTAAACTCTTTAGAGAATACAGAGTCTAACTGCTTCCCGACGTTTCTACAAGGATTTCCTCATGGGACTATTTGAATTTATTTTCCCTCGTAATACAATTTTTTCCGTAACTTTTTGAATTTTATACAAAGTATGTACTTGCCCTACACGGTAAAGCTCTCAACAAACTGAACCGTGTTCAAGAATAAGTCGAACTAGCGAAATGTATGAAACTTTCCGCACTCCCTCGTCTAAAAATTCTCATCAAGAAATGCAGAGCTTTCTGTGCATTTCTGATCACATAGTTCACCTGCTCAGCTCATCCCAAGTGTTCGTTAATATTAATTCCTAAATATTTAATATTGCTTACACGGGTATCGAATCGCCTTTCAGAGTACACGAGATATTTTTTGTTTTTTTCTTATTAGAGAAACAGATAACTTTGTATTTATGTGTATTAATTTCCATTTCATTCTGTGTGGTCCAGCTTTCTATTTCGTTTAGGTCTGCTTGAAACACTTGAATGTCCTGGTATCTTTAATTTCTCTGTAGAGTATAGAAGTGCCTGCAAAGAGTCGAATTTCGGACTTAATGCAAAGAGTTGAATTTCGGACATTAGACGTTTATAAACGCCATATTGCCCTATTCGTTTTTTTTTTCAAAATTACAAAAATGTAATTTTTTAATTGTCTCTCACGCCGTTAATATTTACATTCGCGGGAATTACTGTACATTAATGTATTTATTAGTACATGTGCTTGAAATCATAATAGATACATTTTTCCGAACTTTCAAAAGTTTTCCGTGAAAATAAACTGAAAATTCTGCATATTCAGAAACACTCAAACACTACTTTCTCAAAAACGACTCCAAACTTTTCCTTAGTGATAATGCTAATTGAACTGCGTAAAATGACATATAATTAATTTTGCTATATTCATTTCTTTTTCAAAAATTACACAACTGTCATGTTTTAAATGATTTCTTTCGCCTTTAATATGCACTTTTCTTGCGATTTGTAAACACTATTGCATTTGTGACTGGAGGTACATGAAATGACGTCATATGAAGTTTTTCGAAAACTCGATAGTTTTCTGTGAAAAGTTCAAATTTTACTTTCGCAGTAACACTTAAACACCATTTTCTTAAAAACAGCTCCAATTTTTTCAATGAAAATTGCCATTTAGAACGAGAATTTACTGTTCTTTAATACCCTTAAAATAATATTTCCTTTCGACTATTAGGAAGCCGGAAAATTAAGAAAATTTTTAAAAAATGTACTTGGACAGCGATAGAAGGATGCAGGCACGAATATGTTACGTCCGAATAGCTAGCCGAGACTAATGGAAATTGAAAACTAATACGGGAAAGTCTGTGCCATTCTGTAGCACCACTAGGTTAATACTAAAATCTAGATTTAATTGTCAACTTTGTTTTGATATGTCAGATTTAAAATAATCACTTTTAGCGACTAATTTTCTACGATTTGTAATGAGTTTTACAAAATATTTTCACTGACACGTGTTTATATGGACGGAAATTACAGTATAATAATACGTCGATTCCGTTACTAACAGTGAAAATGTACTTTGTTTTAGCTCCTTTATTTTCGGTCTCTCAATTAACTACATAGGTTGCCAGGTTACTGTGTTGATGAACAGAAAAAGTACTAACTACTTTAAATATTCTGCGTTGGTGATTAACTTTCTCATCTTTTTTCAGAATTATTATTTTCTTACGATTTATTTTAATAACCAGAGATTCCTATTATTGAGTTTAATTTACACCCTAATTATTCATTTTGAAATCGATGCTATGAAAAGTAATGTGTTTTGTTTCAGATTTACGCACATCATTATTTCCAACATCCCTTCGCAGTACTTGTAGAAAGCAACAACATTTTAACTCTAATAATTTCTTTATTTCTTTTCAATAAATAATATAACAGAGAACAATGCATTGTTTATACAAAGATAGTTAACACGTTATATGCTGACTTTATTATACTGAGTTGGTTCGTAAATAAAAATCTCAAAAAAGTCCAAATTTCGTATGTGTCATTTTCACAAGAAATGAGCTTTCTGTCAAACTGGAACTGTGGCGAAGCTAGCTTAGTGCCACCAATAAAACGCATCCAGTCCTGAAAACTAAGAGTCTCTCCATTCTCTCATAAAGACAATTCATATTAAAAAATGTAAAGGTATAATGACAAAAAAACCTGTTAAATTAAATTTAAAAATATTAAATTTTTATCATACATTGTAGTGTATGTGAGTATTACTTATTTACAAAAAACAAGAAAATATTAGTTGAGAGCAGTGTTTAGTAAGAGGGGATAAAGGGTCTCTTCGCACGACGCCACTCAGCAGTGTTTCCGAGTGGTGCGTCTGGTGAGAAATAATTGGTTAAAAGGCAGGTATTCAGCAGATCTGCGAAGTGGCGCTTGGTGTCAACTTTCGCCATCAGCAGCGCTGACTCGCGTCCGCGTTACCTTCACCAGCCCCCAGAATTAAATAGCCACCTTCACACGGCTACTGGGACGCGCCATAGTGGCGATAAGATGTGAAGACAGCAGGAAGGCCTATGGATAGCGGTCACAGTTGGTACATGCGAGTCATTTGCATACTTTCTGTTAATTTTGGAGTTGATGATTGAAGATTTTACTCCTTTTATAGAGATATAAAAATGTCCATCAACAAGGAATACCTAATGTGAAGAGTATTCGAAAAAACTTGAAATGAAAATAAACTAAGGGAAGCTCTAATTTCAAAATTTGTATCTCTGTTTTTAACCAGTCTTTTCTGTTTACTAATAAAAGGTAAAGCCAAGCATTATTGGACAAAATTTTCGTCTCAATTAACATAAAATATATTGTGGCCATTTTTCGAGGAACAGATTCAGGAATCAGGTATCGCACAAATGACAGGTCATAATCTTCAGCTAAGTTTGCAAAATCGCGTTTCGAGGACAAATTAATCCCCATTATCAGGCCAGAATAACACCTTTCACTTGAATAATGTTAATTCTGAATAATAACAACAAAAACATTAGACAGTACCCAACAAAAAAAGACCCGAAACTCTTTTTGTAAAATTATTCTTAATTCAACATCTATGAAGAAAATTAAATTTAAAAAATTAACGTTTCCCCAAAAGTTGTGTTTCAAAGTGCAAGACAACAAACCGTCCAAGCCACAATGGCGTAATGACGACATGACGTGCCTATTGCGATAAGGATAATTTCTAAGGGAGGCGCAAGAACAAAGGAAAGAAAACATCTCAATCCAAGGGCTGGCTTCCTCTCAAAATATTTTATAATACGTTTATCATTAAATAGGAATTGATAATTCGTTGGTTTGTGTGTTGACATTTGGAAAGTCAAATTCTAAAAAAATCAAAGAGATTTTAAGACCAGACAAACACTAATGCATGATGGGTTGCTTACCGTACCAGGGGCAAATTCCACATGTAACTTCATCCTGTGAAATTTCTCAACATATGGTCATTGGAACAAACTATTGATCTTGGACCAACCTCCATTCCGCAACCTCCAAGTGTGGAACTTTCTATTCTGAGGCTGCATTTAATTTGATGGCGCATATTTATATTATTTTTATTATGTATAATATTAATTCATTTTTTTC